TGCTGAAAAGTTAAGATAATACTGGAAAAGTGAAATCACAGTTAATATTTTTACTTTTCAATTATTTTTCTGTATGTACTGTAAGACATTGTAAAATCAAACAGTTTTTTTTGATAAATTCTGTCAATTACTGTTTTGCTGTTCTTCTGCTTCAGGTGTTTTCTTTATTTGTAAAGTTTTTATTTTAAATAACACTTTTTTCAATCTATAGCGCTGGCCTGTACAGTAACAGTTGAAATGGAGAGGGCAGTTCCCACATCACCAACAGGTATGTAGCTTCAATAAACACATTTCCTTTCTTTAGAATCTGAAATGGTTCAATACAATGTGGGTTTTCAGCAAATGTAATACATGAAGGTACATTTATAATAGAACATTTAGTTAAAAGTGTGTATCTATGTTTTCCTAGCAGCCAACAGGTCCTGTGAGAATCTGGAGTGCTACATGGTCCTCATGCAGGCTGAGAAGACAGCCATCAGCTCCATCTGTTTTCTGGCCGGTCCTTTCACGCTGCTGGAAAATGCTCTAGTGCTGGGAGTGATCGCTGCCACTGCCACCCTGCGGCGGCGACCCACATATCTGTTCATTGCCAGCATTGCTTTGGCTGATGTCTTCGCCAGCTGCTTCTTTACCACCAGCTTCCTGGATTTTCACCTGTTTAGGCACAGTGACGGCCCCACCGCCTATCTCTTCAAGTTAGGTGGTGTCACCATGGCCTTCACCAGCTCAGTGGGGAGTTTACTGCTGACCGCTCTGGACCGATACCTCTGCATCCAACAGGCCTCCAGCTATAAGGTGCTGCTGACCCGCCGGAGAGCCTTGATCTGTCTGCTGATCCTGTGGAGCACCACCATCTTCATCTCCTTCCTGCCTCTGATGGGCTGGAGGTGTCCCACAGGGCTTACTCCACCCTGCTCGAGCCTGTTTCCATACATCAACCACGGCTACCTGGCCTGCTGGACCAGCTTTACACTGGTGCTTCTGACCCTGATTTTGTGTGCATATGCTCTGATCCTGTGGAAGGCCCACCGCCATGAGTCCTCCATGACCAGCCTCCAGGGAGCAGCAGGGACAGGCCACGCCCGCATGAGGATGGATATCAGGCTAGCTCGTACCTTTGGCCTGATCCTGCTCATATTAGTGGGCTGCTGGCTTCCTGCACTCTCCTTCATGTTGGCTGATGTCTCTGTGATTCTGACCCACACCCAACAGAGGGCCTTCGCCTTTTGCAGCACCCTCTGCCTGGTCAACTCCGCAGTCAACCCATTGCTGTATGCACTGCGTTGTAGAGAGCTGAGAGTTGCTCTGCTGCAGTTGCTACAAAGGCTGTGTGTGATTGGGAGGTGTAAAAAGACTACACAGGATTTACCCCAAGGAATACATGTCACAGAAGAAATCAGCTGTACTGCCATCACCAAGCATGAGATACCCGCAAACGGAACAATGCAACTTCACTCAGTATCAGAAATGGTGAACAAACAGCAGGACAATATCAGAAAATCAGTTCAAATTAAGGAGTAATTTGCTTTTTTGAAGCGAGCTACGGTATTTCTAACAGACATTACAGAACATTTTACTGTACGTAAGATTAAAATATTCTATAGATATGAGCAGGATTTACTCCTATCACTTATTAGTGCTGGCACATTTTTTTTACCAAGACTATTGTTGTAAAGCCTTTTGAACAAAAATCAGTATTTAAAACAGCCGATCCACAGTATCAGATTCAAAGAGTATAAAATGGGAAACATGACAATTATTGTGTTTAATTTGCAGTTATATTCAATGACAAGACAGTTGTATGGAGAAACCATGACCTCGGAAAATATTTTTGTAACCATTACACATTACTTACATTTAAATAAAAGATGAAGATGTTGATTTTAAAATATTGTTAGAACAACGAACTAGAAACCGATTCCAATGGGAAAAAAGCCATTCACCTCTAGGCATTGTTTCAGGAAGGACAAAGGGTTTAGGATTGTGATGATATCATGTAGCCATCTCACCTTTAACCTTTTCCACTGTGTGCTGTGAACTGAAGCGCTGACTTAACTTGTGTATGCACCACATGGTAGAAAAGTGGATTCATTGTACGCCTGGGCGATATGATGATATTTAAAGGGTCAAAACGATATGAAAATGTAGATAATATATATATTTTTCAAATTCTTAAAAAGAGAATATCCTCTGTACTGTACATTTATCAATTATTTTATTCACATCGAATTATATAAATGTAGGCGTTACCATGTGGTCTTTTCAGATAGACCTTTTTTTGTATTACCAGAAAACATGCTACATCATTATATATGGAGAAATAACCTATATTGTGATAGAAGAATTTGGCCATATCCATCAAGCCCAATTTGTTGTACACTCTTGTTAGACATTTTATTATATTTCTGTGTTATCTTACCTACAAGTTAGATAATATGACATATAACGTCTGCACTGTACCCATAGTGCTATGCATATTACAGTCACTCGCTGTAAATATGTTTTGTGGTATATTTATGGCCGTTTTTTGGTATTTAACTGTAAAAATGACAGCCAAGGCTAACAGTGTTTGCTTGTCTATGTTTGAGTATTTGTCCCTGGGCCTGCACGGACAGAGGACCCTGTGGGTTGCCTGTCCCATCTGCACATGAATGCCACGACTCCACAAAAGCCCCTTGCATAGGAGGGTCTCCCACAATGTTCACCACATGAATCCAAGCAGTGTGTCGAGGTAAATGGAGCACATGCCACGAAGGGAACGAGCACAGACACTAGAACACTCTTTGCAGTAGTGACAACTGGCAGCTGCAGGAAAGCACATATTTAACATAGAGTACACTCAAACTCACAGGTGCACATACTACACAGAACACATTTCAACCACCATATCAAATAATTAAAGAGGACTTACCTTTTTTTGACTCTTTACTTTGTACTGTTTTTTTCTGTTAAGCAAACTTCATAATTAAATCTTACTCATCCTTCATCTTTAACCTTTGTCGAGTGCCAGAGAGTCAGCAGTCTTGTGTTTTCAAGGGTTTGTAAGTGAATCGCTAGAAAATAGTATAAATACAGAACTTTGTAGTGGAAAGACATAAAATGCAGCTTGTTTTTATACATACTGAATAAGGTCTTGTAATACAAAAACGTGTATTATTGGATTTAATAGAACAGTGCATTACATTACTTTAAAAAAAAGTAATAATGTTGAGATTTTTGTTAAAACAGTTTTAGAGGGGTGTGATTAACTGTTATACTGTGTCATTTGTATTTTTTGTATAATCCCATTTATATGAACGACTCTGAATGTTTACAGTGGATCAAACTACAGGCTCCAAAATAGGCAATTGATTGATTGATTGATTGAAAAGTTTATTAACAGCTTGTATATTGGGTACAGTACAGTACAGCTCAAAACATATAATTGTTAAGGGGATGCAGACCAGAGAAAGACTTTCGTCTTGTTTACATCAGGGTCCCCCATTTCCAATTCATCATATCATTTAAGACATATAAGACATATTTGACATACAGATGGCTTATTTACAATTTACATACAGGTGGTTTTTTACATACAGATGGCTTATCTACAATTTTCATTTTAGATTTCGTTCTAATACATCCTAACCGGACATTTAAGACATACCAAGTCTACAGATATACAGTTAGTAACAGAGTCTAAAATGCGAGTATATACATAGATGGGGGGGGGAAGCTGTCAATTGTACGACAGGTTGAGATTTGTACCATTACCGGGGCCAGTTTTGCAATGCTCTCCCCCGAAGGTGCTCTTTAAGAGAGGTTTTGAAGGTAAGTATAGTTTTACTTTCCTTTACAGTTGTGGGAAGAGCGTTCCACCTTGATGTGGCATAATTGCGAAACGTGTATTCCCCCTTTTTTGTGCCAAATCTGGGTTTTACATGATTTGTGGAGCTCCCTCTGGTGTTATGATCATGGTATTCCTTGACCTTTGGGAAGAATTTTGACATGTACATGGGTACCATAGAGGTGTAGTGGATCTTGTAGACCAGGCCCATTGCAAGTAGCTGTACTCTGTCGTCTACTCTAAGCCATCCTAGGTTGTCAAAGTGGGCAGAGGTGAGGTGGGTTCTAGATGAAAGGTCAAGCAGTAGTCTGACCAGTTTATTTTTGCGATGTTTGAAGTTTTATTTTTAGCGCCTTGGAGGTGCTATGGTACCATGACGTGCAAGCATAGTCATAGTACCCCTTGAATGAGTGCTCCTGCCAGAGTTTTCAGGGTGTTTTTGTTTACCAGAGAGGAGATCCGGTATAGGAATCTAGTTCTTTGATTGACTTTTTTTATTACATTGGATGCCATTTTGTCACAGGAGAGGTTTGCCTCAAGAATAGATCCTAGGTATTTAATTTCCTTCTTACTTGTGACAATAATGTCACCCACTGCAACTGAGAAGTCGTCGGATTTGCTGAGATTATGTTTCGAACCGAAGAGAATGGACACTGTTTTACCCAGGTGTAATGATAATTTGCAATAGGTTGGTAACTGCACCCTTTAATGAAAAATCGTTGTTTTAAATTTGCATGGATACAAAATGAAAGTCTGGTAGTTGTTGATAGACGGCAAATAAAATAAATAAATAAAATCTGCTTTCAGTTGAAGGAGATTAACATTACTTTGGAGTTCATTTGAAATCTACCTGATTTACCTGACCGCCACCGCCAGACGTCTCGTGAACCTTCAGTTTGAGTTCAACGGAAAGCAATTAACAACAACACAAGGGTTGGGCGTCAGAGATCGTAACATAAACAAGGAAAATAATGAAAACATAATCACAGTTAATTTCAATATTGTATTATATACAGCGTTAAGACGTACGTTTGAATACAAACTACAATTTAAACCAGTGAAATATTCAATATAATAATGTGTAAATACTTAAGAACCCCCTTCTTTCCACCAATGGTACGGTCTGCCATTGTGACGTTTTAAAATTTCAGCAGGCAGGGTCGGCAGTTGGCTTATTTCTTCTCAGAGAAGAAAATCCGTTGTTGTGGAGAGGAAGAAAGGCTCGAGAAATCCGAGCAACGTTTAACGTACTAACAACGACCGTTAAACCCCAGTTTTTGCGGGTCGTTTTTCTCCAGCTTATATTTCCAGTTTACTTTAGCAAACATGGCTTGTGGAGCAACGTTAAAGAGGTCGATGGAGTTTGAGGCCCTCCTCAGTCCCCAGTCTCCCAAGCGGAGAAGGTGCAATCCACTACCGGGGACTGCTGGCACTCCGTCCCCGCAAAGATGCAACCTCCGTCCCCCAGTCGACAGCCCATCGCATTCGATGTCTCCTCCGACCATGGGAGGCGAACACAGGCTCACTCCAGGTAAACAATTAAACCAGATTTGACGTTTTTCCTGCTTTTCAGGGTGGGTGTCATGGGGGAGGGGGTTTGGGTGGAGTGGAATGGATAGCTAGCTAGTTGAGAGAATCAGAATGGGGGTTGGAGGCTAAAAGGTTAGCTTAGCTAAAGCTAACGCCAGGAAGGGGAACATCGTCGCTAAGTTACCGACACAGATCATTTTACAAATCATAATAAATCACTGGATGTACAAACGTAGAGTCAGCTCTATATCATTTCGCGGGCATCTCTTCATCTGATTATATTGTTGCATAGTTAACTGAATTAGCTTACATACGCTAATATTGAGTAGCCCATTAACCTATTAGCTTCTAAGTTCTCTGCATAGCTAAATCAAATACTATTTCTAGCATATGGGAAATATGATACAGCAAAATAAAAGCCATTTTCAGCTCTCTGTACAATATGCATCTATTGTATGTTCTATTGTGGCTATTACCGTATTCAATTATACAATTATTTGAAAACTGGTGGGCTTTAAACAAAAGATCATGCTTGTACTTAGCACATGGGTGAGAATCTAGTCTGCCGGCTCTCCTGAGAAGACAAATGGCATCACAGCAGCAGGCACATCATGGCAGGCTGCTAATTAGAAGCTGCCTGGGTAATGTTTCTTAGCTTTAGTGTCACAATTGTCTTACATTGAAGTGGGGGTTTCCATTATGCACCAGAACCAGGCCTGGAAGGCATTGTTCATTTCCTTTATGTCTGTCGTCTACTCTCCCTTTTGCCTTGAAAAGCTCTGCTGTGAGCGTTGGACGGGTGTGGGGCACACAACTTAATTACGAGATGTGTCTACTGCGATCCAGGGAGGCTTATTGAATGTGCCAGTCACTCACATCGGGCAGTTTGATAGCAGTGAGGCCCAATCCTTATCCTCATTTAATTTTTTTCATAGACAATTGCTGGATGTCCTTGATTGTATTTGATCACTTCACTGCTGTTAAATGGGAAAGGACAAGATGGAGACGGTTTGCTAATTCATGCTGTTAACTCTTAGATTGTCATTATATGCTTCAATTGATTAAAAATTCCCAAAACACAGACAAAGACATAGGTTTCCATTCTATATGTGCAATTCACCTACAGAGGTGAATAACACGTTACCTGAAACACGACTGTGAAAAAAAAGATGATTAAAACAGTACATTAACGTGAGACTTCACTGCCCCAGTTGTGTGCCTGCTGCGTCATTTATCAAGACGTTGACCAAATCATGGTGTTTGTTACTGTTTTTGCACCATAAGAACAAATGTGCTTCATGGTGCACATCATTGCAGGATGACCCTCGAAATCGTTGCACACATCGCTCATAAAAAAAAGCCAGGGAAGGTTTGCTGAGAGCATTAACACATGCACAGATGTAGGTGTTGATGGAGATAATGTCACAGCTGGCTTCCTGTGAAATTCATTTATTTTAGCCTCTGGTGACATGTGTGATTCTCATACTGGGTGGAAAAATATTTATATTGATCATTTGAGAGATGTTTCTTTTCTGAGAAGGCAGATGCATGATTGTGAAGACACATTTGTCATACCCCTGTTATTTGTGGTTCCCTTACAGAGTAGTATTCATAGTGGAGCCATGTTTATTAGTATCAAATGAATCATTATTTTCCAGGTCGTCTGTTCTGTCGTTGCCAATTTGGCCTGAACTTTTAGAATCCAACAAGCCTTTGGGAGTTTATTTCAGAGTTTGTCTGCCTAACTGAAAACGGCACATCAGCTGCAAGGCTAAAGTAATGTAGATTTTTCTGCTGCAGACGTGAGGTCCAGATACCAAGTATCATACTCACCTTCACCCAGAAAGAGGCCCCTCATGGGACTGGTGCCACCAGCCTGCCTTACTGCTGTGGTTTGCCAACTGAAAGCAGTTTTGTATTTAGCGAAAGGTCAGCTGTCATCCCTCCCACCCGTCTATACCCTCACGTGCTTTCCGGCTAGTCAGGTTTGCCTGTGGTGAGAAATGCTGTGTGTGTGCAGGTAAGACGGGGATCTGACTGCCAAAGTATCTTCAGGTAATTATTTCATAATGTAGATAGGATCATTCACTACATTCTCTACTGCCTCCTTCTTGTGTTGCTAGTCTGGGCTTGTGCTTTGGTGAAATTCCCCCCAGATGACAGATGGGGCTGGTGTGTTTATGGGAAAGGATGTTATCTAAAAATCTGGACTGGTTGACTAGAAATAAACGTGTAGGTCACAGTTCCATCTTGAAACCTTCAACCTGCAAGACTGGTCATGTATCCTGTACTCAACCTAAACATTTTGATAGTCTTTTGTTAGCGTCATTTCCCACTTATACTCTTTGGAAACCGGGTCACTCTTCAATTCTTCCCAGCAGAAGGGCAACTTCAACTGACCCATAATACATCAAGTTACTTCCTGGCAGTTATTCGAAACCCACCTCCCCCCCAATTCTTTAGCAGTGGAGGGTGAAATGAAATGAGTCAGCTTTGTTTTCTCTCTCCCACCGCTATGTCCATTCTATCTGGCCGATCTTCTGTCGTATTCACTGTTTGGACTGAGCCTAAGCCTTTTAGCCGAGGCTTTCTCCACTGTGTTCGCCTGGCTCCCGGAAGTCTCTGTGATTGATTGCTTTGCCTGGTTGTGGCAGGGGTCATTGTTGCCAAGCGACGCCCACAGTTGAGCTACTGGTAGTTGGCATAGCTGGAAGTGACATGCAGCAGGAAAGGGTTTCACTTGTCAGTCAGATGTAGCCAGGAGTAGTGATATCTAAGTAGAACCATTCATGTCCTGCACAGGTTAATCCCTCATTGTTGACGTAGAGTAGCCCTTGTCTGTAGTTCCATACAAATAAATACAACATGAGAAAATTATACGGAAGTATAGAACCAAATTTAGTTTGGGTTTTATTTATCTCCCGCTACCCATACGGTCCTTGTTTAAACATGGGGTTTCCCACAGGGCATTGGTAAGCGGAGTTAAACAGATGTGCAACCCTGCCAAAAATAAACAAGACAAACTGCCCGTGTTGTGTGCACGTACAAAATGTCCCTTAGTATTCCAAATCTGTGTCATTGGGCATAATCCATTTGGGGAAACTGACAACCTAAAGAACTATAGTATTTTGGGATGAAAAATACATTTATTGTATTAGCCAGGTACTCAATTCAATACAATCATTTGTAGAATACATTGTTATTAAAGTATCAATAGATGCAGCTACAGCGTCAACATTTGTTTCTGTTGGTTACTTTTCAATTCATTGTTCAGTCTGTATATAGTCAGAAACACAATTTTCCTGAGAGTCTTGTATTGCATTGGTTGCTTTGCCATGGTTGCATTCAATAACCCAAAGATAAAGAATAATGGCAATTTGCTGTATTAATACTAAAAAAATGATGTAAATGTATTTATTTGAAATTGTTCAGTTTCCTGTCAATCTTCTTATTGTTTCAGTTCTTGTTACAGCTCCTTTGTGTGTTGGGAATAATGTTGTTCTCCCTGCAGTGACATGGCTTTATTACCACTGAAAAGCCCCGTGGTAGCTAAACAAACAGCCTGTCAGATTAGGGTCCTGTATTGTTAATGGAAGGTTTCAGAGGCCACATACCGGGAGTGGGGGGTGGCTGCATCTCTGCGAAGGCAGCAGTTCAAAAGTGCACGGCCACATAACATGGCTTTCTTAAACTGGCCCTGTAGAAAAGATCCTGCTCTCTTCACCATCCAAACAAGCTAACTGATGAGCAGCCTGAAGCAGCAACATGGCTTCCAACCCTCTCCCCACCCAAGATAAATGAGGCATGGTTCCCCAGATAGAGGCACAACACGTATGAAGACTTCCCCACTGTATAAACCCAATAAGATAAAGTTCCTCCTCTACATTTGGTTATCAGCTCTATTTGAGGCCGTGGTGTTTTTCTTTTTTGAACTTTAACCTTATTAGATCTGTGTGTGCTGGCTGTGACCCATGTTGAAGCTGTCACAGCAGCTGCAGCATAAGCATCATTCTTAGAGATCCATATTTGAGACAATAAAGGACTTAAACAGGATTACTTATTTATTTTAATATTCTAAACGTCCACTCTATACCTGTTTTGTATTTTGTATAAATCTAAATGACTAATTGCATTTACCTTACATGTTTTGTAATGCAAGAAATAACCACATTGACATGCCAACTATACATGCTTAATGTTGGCACATTAACATAATGTAAACTGAATGACAGCCACACATCTTGGATGTTGGAGCTTTCTTTGAAGCACCAGCAGTACATTAGAAGTGAACTTTAGATTTGAGTTTTATCACAGTCAACATGGCAGGTTTTCAATTAAAACATGTGATGGTAGCAAGTAGCAACACACCTTTCAGAGGGCCTCTTTCACTGCCCACAGACTCATTCATTTGTGCTTTTACATTTGGTCTTAGGTGCCATTTCCAAGTTTCTGTCCCTATTTACAGCTTGCTTATATTAAATCATTACGACAGCAACACCCAGACAATGCAGGCAGAGGAAAGAACACCATCCTTAACTACGTCCCTTAATCACAACATTCTACCAAAAATATGTTAATTGAAGTTTCAGAAAGGATATAGAAAAGCATTATGCAGGGTGCGTACGGGTGCTGGAAATCCTTGAAAATGCTTGAAATTGTACGAGGTGTTTTCAAGGTTTGAAAAGTGCTTACATTTTGGGAATGGTGCTTGAATTTGGGATAAAGTGCTTGAAATTGTAAATGCTTTACTTCGCTTTTTAGATTAAAAGAAAATAAAGAAGTCTGAGCATGCTTAATTGCTTCGCTTTTACATAAAACAGCTCCGCTCCGACCTTCCCGCGCAATGCGCGTGACCGGCAAGTGTTTTTGTTACGTGTGTGACCTGGGCATTCTGATGAGAGTGATAGATGACAGTATGCCAGGAGGTTGCCGTTTCAACGAGCGTTGGCTAGCAGAAGACAAATACAAGCCATGGCTAAGACCAGGGTCAAGCGAAGCCCAAGAGTAGCCTCCTGCAAAGTGTGCAACAATAACGATGCGAGAGTCTGCGCTGACGAGTCACACACCACACGAAAGGTACGCCGTAGTAGAGCATTTTAGATTAGGCTATCGTTGCATGTAAAATACATGACACTTTTCTCTGTGCGTGGCAAAACAAGCTCGCCAAAATGGCTTCACTAGTCTGGCAGTATTTTAAGTGTCCGAAAATGACAATAAAATAGCGGTATGCAACGTGTGTGTGAAGCAGAAATCCTGCAGCTCCACCCGGTGTGACGGACCGGTGAGCGGAGCAGAACACACATTAAGAGTTAGACCTAACACACTTAGCTATTTTATCTACCTCTGGAACAAGCTAAACTAGTTATACATATATTTATTCTTCACTGTCGGGTCGCTCATTACTGGATCAGTGAGCTGCAGGAGATACTGACGGGCTGTCAGGAGAGAGAGAGAGAAAAAGAGAGCGATATCGGTATCGGCCGATACTGATTCCGGCGATCGGCTCCAAAATTGGCGATCGGAGCATCCCTAATAATTGTATATGATATGTTTTATAATGATTGATCATGAAAGTGTTATCAAAGCTGGTAAAGGTGCAGCTAGTTTGAATGACTTTGTATACTGCAGGGTAGCTTGTGAATTTACTCCAGGTGGAACTAAAGTCTGATTTAACACTTGATTATATTTCAAGGTTCAAGGTTCAAGGTTCTTTATTGTCAATCTGACATAGCTACAGAGTAATTATGCAGTTGAAAATCTTATGTCACAGGCTTCTCCAACAATGCAACATAATAACATAATAACAATAAGAGCATGAGCAATACAAAAATAATAGTAGTTATAAAAATGAAATAAAGTTATGATGTGGAATAGTGCAGTACGAGTCTATATACAAGTTATTGGAATGATATATATATATTAGGTATTGGGTATTCACATCATTCATCCACATCTGTAAAGTAACTAAAGGTATTAAAATACATGTAGTGGAGTCAAAGTACACCATTTACCTCTGACTTGTGTTTACTGCCAACCTAAAAGTACCTCAAAAATAGTAATCAATAATATATTGAAAAGTTATTTGGCTGATTGGTTTATATTGGCTCAGCCAGGTTATATGGGATGCCCAGTCTACGTACAGATGGGTCACTCATTTTGAAATATTAAACTTAGTTTTCTTTTCTAACATTTTTAATTTTTCATCCTCATGTAGAATGCTATTATGAAACACACATTTGGTTATTTATAGCATAAAGAACATCTGATTTAATGTGAGGTAGGGAAATAATCATTTGAGTATAAGTATGTGTATATAAATATGTAATTTACAACAGCTGTAAGATGCTTGAAAAGCTTGAAAATGCACCTTGAAAATGCTTGAAAAGTGCTTGAATTTGACTTTGGAAAAGGTGTAAGAACCCTGATTATGTTATTTGACTTTTCTGTACTCCCTACATATAATGGCAAATGAACTTCTTAAGTACTTTATTTACAGGATAAAGGGAATTGGTCTATATTATCACATGATCTTGCATGCTTTTTCAGGGCTGCACCTATTCAGTTGGCCTTCATAGCTGAACCTAACACCTTTCAGTTAGGCATGAAGCGCTGGTAATCCTGTTAGGCGTGTAGGGAGGCAAGTAATATCCTATTTACCATAGTCTGCATTGCAGTCTTGTAACCCACAGATCTTTCCACACAAATCCGTTTATTTTGTATCCACCCAAACCTCAAGCATCTATTTAACCACTAAAGCGGGCCTCAGAAGAATGCAAGGCTTTTACTTTATTACAGCCTAGTAAAAACAGTGATTTATGTCGCAGCCTAACGTAAGTCTTTCTCACCCGCTGTAGCTTAACATGCTGCCAACAACATGAAACAGTTTTGGAAGAGAAGTGAAAGTGATAGTCACAGGATCAGGTGGTGTGTCTTTTAGTCAGCTCTGTTTTTTTTGTGTCTGTGTTTGCCACAGCTGTAGTGAAGTAGGTATGTCATCAATGTCAGTCTGTCTCTACTTCCTGTTGTTTGGAACCCATGTTACGTTAGCAATTGTACAGACTTTGAGCAGAGCTGTAGTTCATCTTAAGAGAACCGTGATTTATTAAGCCTTCCCCCAATAGTCCTTATTAATGTTGCAATACATTCAACATTTTATGAATGTGGTAGGCGTAGTATTTAAATGCAACACATTAAAGACTAAACTAATGATTACAACAAAGATTGAACTAGTGTTGATTAGTTAAAAGGACACTTAAAGGAATAAGAACATATTTATACTAGTTGGCATGCAAGTATAATGCTATATGAGACAAGAGATGTTAGCAGCAGTTTAACTTGATAAAAGTAACTCCTAAATAAAAACATCAACGGATAACCCACAACTGGGATCTTTTGTAATCATTTTTAACTATAATAAATACTGTTGGTGCTGTTTTTTGTACTTTTAACTCACAAGCACACTCATACATATAAAGAAACCAACCCTTTTTAAGAGTTTTTTTCAAGGGACATTCAATTAAATCGAAGCAGCTAATTTAAGAAAGTTGTGACTGCGTTTGCCTTGGCAGCCATTGGGAGCACTGCATTACTGCCACAGGGTTGATTCATGTGTGCCACCCCAATTGTTTGGCTGTCCTCTGTCCTAGTTTAAACCGTTTGTGTCCTTGTTTTTCTTTGCCCGCTACAGAGCAGATCTTCCAGAACCTCCGTCACGAGTACAGCCGGATCCAGAGGCGGCGGCAGCTGGAAGGGGCCTTCAACCAGACGGAGGCCTGCAGCTCCACTGATGCCTCCAGCCCCAGCTCCTCCCTCAACGCTCCCAGCTCCCCACCAGGTAGGACCGTTTACTGTTGGCCCGACACTAGGGGTGTAACGGTTCACAGAATTCACGGTTCGGTACGTACTTCGGTTTGGGGGTCGCGGTTCGGTACGGGTTCGGTACAACAAGAAAAATCACACAAAAAAGTCCCAGATGCATAATTCCAGGTTTGTTGTTATTTATTTTTGAACAGTAGTGCAAGTTTCAGTATAAAAATAAGGCACTCTAACATTTTGAATAATGAACTGTATTACACAGTTAAAAACAAACCACAAACAGTAGCACACACACTCAGATGGCCATATTATCTATCATGGCTGATGTCAAACAAAAAGGTTTCATCAAGCTGTAAAATTAAAAAGAATGTCTTGAAAATATTACAAAATAAATAATAAGAAAGTGTTTCAAGGGCGCATAGCGCATTTGTTGTTTTTCTAAATGTGTGCGTTCTATCAGAGCGGCTGTTTATTTATCATGGTCCAATTATAGAAACTCCTCTCTTTTGCTACAGAGTGCCTAAAGGCCCTGACACACCAGGCAGTCACCAGAGAACTCGCCGACATCGACTGTTGCATCGGCGAGTTCTCCTGCGTCTTGGCCATGTGTCGCACTGGAACACACCACAAAGACTTCAGCCGAGCACGTACGAACTGCGCATGCGTGAGTGGCAATAACTCTCCTTACCAGCAGGCGGCGGTAGTGTGTATTCGTCATTCAAAATAGGCAACAACCGGAAGACAGAGAAGAAGAACAGACTGATATAAACAAACAACAAATAGCGTGTGCGTTCCATTTTCACTCTCGTCCATCGAAAACATGTTTTAGAATATAAAAATACATGAATGATGAAATGAGCACATAAAGTGCAGACATACTATAAAATCACAGTTAATAGACCTGCATCTGATGATCGCAGTGTTCTGGCGGGTGTGTAGTTTATTGAGTCAGCAATGTAGTAATGTAATAATGGCCACTTCTTGCTAAATTTACATTTCCATGTGATGCTTTTATCCGAGGCGACTCACAATAGGTAAATGAACAGCAGTAGACAGTATCTCATTTAGACACTGTACTTAAGGACAATGTTGAGGTACTTGAGACTAATCCTGCAACTTTATACTGACAAATAAACCGATGAGATGAAAAACCGGACTTGACCAAACAAATCACGGAGCTCTCAGCAGAGGACAGCCGGGGACGCTCCCGCCGATATCAGAGATGTCCCTGCTATGTGTGGGAAGTAAGAGAGGACATTTAAGGGCTATGTTTGATGTCTTTTAAGTATCACCTGCTGGGGTTTAGCTGCTGTCCTGTGCCTTTTTAAATCGTTTGTTTACTTCTCTCACTTCCGTTTCGCTTCTCATTTGCTAGCTGAACAGCTGATCAGAGTGGTTTCTTGGCCCGATAGCTTGTGTCCGACATGTCGACCGTGAAAGGCCAAATAAGGCGTGTCACGGCCGAGGGTTCGGGACACACCAAATTGACTTTGGGCGACAGGGCACGCTTTGTCACCAGACAACCGAAGACGGCCGATATCGGCCTGGTGTGTCTGGGCCTTAACATTTTAGTAGATGTGTAGACCAGTTCAGGTTTTTTGAGAGATGTGGAGGGATATTGTTCTTATGCAAGTAAGAACTTTTTGCCACTCGGGTGATTTAAATAACATGTTTGCTTTTTTTTGTTCTGGTTAGCAAGAAGTATCAGCCAACTCAGACAACACCATCCAAAAAAAAAAAGACAGAAAAACAACCTTTATGAGCCTAATCTTTGTAACAGTTGCAAATGATGAGGTCATTCATTCTGCAAGGCCTGCCAAAAGATCCTTGGCTGGACCTGCATGAACAACTAAAATCTCAAGAGGCAGGCTACTGCTGCTCATCAATACAAGCACAAGGGCAGAGGGATTGTGATTTCAGATGTGAGTTTGTGAAAGATTTATAGTTGTTTGTAGGGCTGCTCAATTAATCGTATTTTATTCGCAATTACGATTTTGGCTTGCAACGACTATGAAAACAACATAATCTAAATAAAACGTTATTTTTTTTTTCTATTTTTTTTTCCAGTTGAATTATACTTAAAGGTGGGGTAGGTAATTTTGGAGAAACCAACTCGAGTGCGCTAAAATTTGAAAATACACAGCCGGAAAAAATCTGCCACTTCCTTACAAAGCCCCTCCTCCAACACACACGAACGCGCACATGACCAATGAGGGCACGAGATAAGCTTGTGCACAGATGGAAGGCTGACAGGCAGGTAGGCCATCCAGTTATTTTAGCCGGGCCGGCTAAAATGATTGGTCGTGCTTTTTACAGTACTACGGCTTCCACAGATTACATTTTTTTTATGGATTTTTGGTCAAAGCACTTAAGATATTCATTGCTATCGGGATGTTAAGAGCATTCCATGGAATATAACAAAAAGTGTATCTCGAGCCGGTTTCTCAAACTTACCTACCCCACCTTTAAAGTTCAGGGTAATCAACTGTTAAAAACATACTGTTACAATTTTTTTTTTTTTTTCAATAAATGGATGTTTTCAAAGTAAATGGATAATCGTTTTTAATAATCGTGATATCAATTATTCACCCAAATAATCGAGATTATGATTTTTGCCATAATCGAGCAGCCCTAGTTGTTTGTGCTAAATCCAACCCACTCCAGGAATGGGGATATCTCACTCATCTGAGTTTGTTCATATCCTGTTGAAATGAATACTACTTTCATGCTTTATCATATCTAAAAGGATAACAAATTAAAATGATGGAAAGTTTAAAAAGTGATTGAATAACTTTAATATTATGTTATTTGAAGAGCAAAATAAAGAGATGCAACATTTTTCTTGCAAACCTGTTAAAAAACCCAGATGTCATCGGGATAAAACTCACTTAACAAAGATTGAACCTAGAAAAAGTTATTTTTAATTAAATGATTGGTGGTTGAAACAGATTTTTTTTTCAAAATGGCAGTTCCTGTAGGCATCACTTTTTTTTACAATCCATTTATTTACCAAAAACATGCATCAGTCAATACATAAATAGCTACACTGTCTCCTGACATTTGTGTTTACTGTTACAGATCAACTGTTTGTTTAAGCTCATCCTTAGTTGACATGTGCCCGTCATAAAGAAAAAAGCAACATATTGGATCCTTCACATTTATATCGATTTTTCCTTTTACTCCTCTGAAAACACATTTGTGCTGCAGCAGCAGTGGTGCAGATTTATGCCTTTAGCACACTTTGGCAGTTTGTGTTGCAAGATGTAATCCCAGCCTCAGGGCTTTGGGCTCTTGTGTTCTTCCCCCCCGCTCTGCAGAACGGTCTCATAGATCACACTGACTGCACTGTTACTAACCCGGCCTCTTTCAGTCTCTGAGACGACCATTAAACCTTCATCCTTGCTCGGCCATCCTCATCTTTGATTTACAAACAGTTAAGTCTAAAAGGGCTCTCAGCAGACCTCAAAGACCACTGGGTAAAGGATCACCTAGCTAAAGCTGGCTCCAGTTGCACTGTGACAGAGACTTTGGGGAGAGAAAGGGCCCACATTAGTGCTGCATGACCCTGTCGACTGGCAGAGGTGAAGGATGACTGAAAGCGAAGCTCTAAATTTGCAGCTGGCCGAGCACCTATTTCTGGAGAGAGGACATTTCTGTCTCTGTGACTTATTGCCGCGCCGGAGATGTGAGTGATTCAGCCTTTTCTTAACCGATCTGATTCTGTGTTTCTCAGGTGCCTCAAGGAAGGACCAGCCCTCGTTTACGCTGAAGCAGGTGAGCTACCTGTGTGAGAGGCTGCTTAAAGACCACGAGGAGAAGATCCGGGAGGAGTACGAACAGATCCTTAACACAAAACTCGCAGGTAATGAACATTTATCTTATAGGAAAAAAAACTAGCCGAACTATAACACAATTATTTGTTACCCCAGTAACTTACACTGAGTGTCATTGTGTTATGAGAAACATCCTTCCCGTATGAGTATATTTTCATATAACTGATAACGTCTGCAGTGCTGGCATCAATGGTTCCATCAAACTGTTTATTTAGGATGCCTTGGCAGTAAATAAGAGGCAATAAAGTCTAGGCTTTTGTTTAGCAGCCAAAGCTAACCTGCGACGGCTGCACATGTGTAGACTCCGTGGTCTTAAAATCCCCACAATGCTTTGCACATGGACCAATTTCCCCAAATCGGTGGCAGAAAATGTAAGGCGGGGCCTCTCGTATGACGCACACCTGCACACTTGCTCGCCTGTTCCACTCTTTGTTTTCCGAATGCCAGGATGTATTCTTGCCTCGCTTCTGAAGCAAGTGACTCGGAAGACATGTGCTATCAAGCAAGCGTACTCGACATTGAGAAACACCCCCAGTCTCAGGGCTTCTTAATATTTAAAAACCTATTAATGTGTCATACCAGATTAACGGGAAGAAACTCAGCTAACTGACAATACAAACCATTTTTACCGAAACAAAACACAAGTCTCACAAGAAGCGTCTAAATGAGCCCTGAGCGAAAAAATGCTAACGCATTTAGCACAGAACTCAAGGTAAAAATACCCTTATTAGTTATCGTAACTGCACATACAAGATATCAGAATAAAGCTGAGATTCCCGAGATTCTATAGGTATTAGTATCATCACTGAGCGATCAGAACTCGCGACAGGGGAAGCAAACACAGACATCACAACACGTAGCTTTACGGAGCATTCACGGGAGATCGTCTCACCTTAGCTGTTATTCTGATCAAAAGTCGTGTTCAATGGCATTAAAACGATAAAAACGCTGCTGAAGGTTAATCCAATGTGTCTGTGTCACTTTGAAATGATTACTGATAATCCATCATTCCATTTTTATGTCAATAACGGAGATTTCATATTAGCTGCTAATGATAGCCACCAGAGTGTATCGGAAAACTTTGTTGAATAGAAATGACTATATTGTGAGTTTGGCTGTATTCATATAAATGCAGAATAGGATCTTTGCAAACAAGAGGAGACTGAACAGACGTTTAAAAAGCTGAGACTCAGAAGCCTTACCAGATGTTTGATGTGATGCACAGTTTTGCTATTACCCACATCAAAAGCAAACAAAGAAGAGATTTGGCAATTTCCTGTTAGTGGTGATACAGTGTAGCAGAAGATATTCAAAAAAATACTTGAGGGCAAACTTTGAATCTACAGCACAAACCCTCACCTTTATCTTCTTCTCTTTTCAGAACAATATGAATCTTTTGTGAAATTCACACAAGACCAGATCATGCGAAGATACGGAGCCCGGACTGCTAGTTGTGAGTATCTTAAACATCTCTTTCCTTCTCCCTTAAAGTATACATTTCTTGTTGAGAGTAAAACGATTATAATCTTTATCGGGTCTGACTACAATCCATTTTATGTGTTTCAGATGTCTCCTGAATTCACCATGATGAGATCCCAGCTTCCTGTCACAAGATGGCTGCTCTTCTACTGCCCCCGTTCAACTTGATTTTCATTTTAATTACCTAAACACCGCCCCCTCCTCCCTCTCAAACTGTTAGGGTGCCATGGTTTATCCTCTTTTTTTTTTTTATCCAAATGTTGACGATTTCTTCTTCAAAACTATTGCTGCTGGCCAAAAGTTAAAATAATCTGAAAGAGAAACTATGTATGAAGCCCACCCTCTTTTTTTAACCTTTTTTCTTGTTCATATACTCTTTCCGGAAATCCTGACTAAAGCAGATCTGTGTCAAATCTCTTGCCGGTGCTGTAGAAAAAAGCTTATTGATCATTCTGTATAACCTCCAGCAGCTGTATTTAATGGCTCCTGCTTATCACATTGTCCCCCTTTTCTCCAACCCCCCCCTACCTCCCTCCTCACAACAACTCTTCACCTGAGAATGTGGATTTTTCTCCCTTTTGAAAAAAATAAAAGTTCTGTGATTAAAATCTGTTGTCTGCGATGTTTTCTAAAAGCAAGTATGTGTTTCAAGTAACATGGGTAGCTGACAAGCTGTTGAATACATTACACATCCTAATCAGAAGTTTGCCAAACTGAACTGTAGAAATTAAAATGTCCATTTCTCCCCGAGCAAGAGACTTCTCTGATGGCCAAAAAGTTGAACTCAATCAGGATGGTCTCGCCTAAAACTGTAGCAGGTGACAAAAGAGATTTTGATGATCTATACATTTTTACGGACATTTTATAAGCCGAAATGACAAACCTTGTTTCTCTTTTTTACTGTTGAACATTTTGTGAATTCAATTTGGGTTTGGATGACTACATTTTGCCTCTTAACACATTTCTGACATGAATTTATACACACAATTATTCATTTACAATAATGGTTGTAGAGGGTATTCTCAAGACAAAATGTTTTTTTATTAAAGGGATTCTGGCCATGGTTCCATTTGTATATTTGCTAATGTATAATACATTTTTGATAACATTTGCTATAGGTGTGGATCTTAGATATACTCACATGTTGCACTAACAGTCGTAGGTGTTTATGTTGCTGTTACTCCACCTGCTCATGACATCAGTGATGTATAACAATCTCCGAAGAACATTTTGTTATGAGTACCTCCGATGTAAAATGTAGGGCCATTCCTTTGTTCCTAATCGTGGACTCTACTTCCACCTTGTGGTTTCTTGGAAGTAATGCGACATTCATATTAAAATTGGACTTTAACCTTCAATACACTTTACTAAAGTACACGCTTTCCAGTCTACTGTACCACACAGCACCGTGGATAAAAAAATGGACGCTTATGGTGCCATTTTTCCCGGGCTGTGTGAGGGAGAAGAGGGAGGGATAATCTGGATAATGGGTCGGTGACGTCACTAATCCCAGGTGTGGCACGAGGAAACAGGTAGGCTGTTGTTGTGGCGCGCATCATTATTTGCTGTGCTTCTATACAACTGTCCAGTAGAGGAGTGGAAGAGGTGGGTTGTTTAGTTTGAGGAAGGAAGCTTCTTGCAGGAAAAAGCAAATAAAGGACCTATAATTAACTCCGAGGGCTCTTCCCTTCTTTTTTTGTTCCTCTGAACCTACATTGACGGTCGGTTTTGGGAAGGGATTCCGCATGTTTTACTGAAAACATGGTGGACTGTTGTTGAAAACGTAACTATTTCGAATTCTGGTAGAGTATATGAACTCATGCACTCTTAGTCTCACCTATTGAGCTGTTTAAATTAGTTTAGCTGGATCAATATTTATGCGTTTGGGACCGCCTGGAGCCCTGCAGTGTTCCTGTTGGTAGCAGTTTAGGTGAGTAAAGACCACAGTCATGTCGAAGTCATTCAAAAAAAACGTTGGAAAATGTCCTAATGGCGAGGAGCCTTCACTATGTTTTTAACGTTGTCAGTATTGGTTTACTCAGCAATTCTCAGAAACGCCCAGTATACAGGAAATGCTCATTAACATGCTGTGGTTACTTACTGTAACTGTGTTCTCTATCAGCTTCTTTTCAGTCAGGAAAATATATAGTCGAATCTCAGTTTAATTCATAAAAGGGGAAAATATACTGTTTCATGTTCAGTGTTGTTTTGTGTAAAACTTCTGCTTTTTCACATGTTATTAACTGTCTGATGTCGCCTACGTCACCAATACCTTTTATAAGTATGTATTTAATTACACCTAAATACATATTGAAACACCATTAAATATATCTATCTCACTATGTCATTCTGGATATCGAAGTGTAATTTCAGGCGAGCCTTCAGTCAGAGTAATCATACAAACCTGTGTACATAATATATCTGACTTTATCACCTCGCTAGATCACACCCTTTCCACTTAAACACAGCATTGTAGTACAGGACTCTGGGGTTTGACAATTGTATACAATCATGCACACTTTGAATACAGATACAGGTGTTAAAATGTGTCAGATACTATTATCATTATAAAATAAAACTGGTAAGATGTCAGATTTTCCAGCACCTCAAAGTGTGAGAAAGTGATGTTTTTTATTTTCTCGTATAATAGTAAACTGAATATCTTAGGGGTTTGGATGAAATAGGACATCTGAAGTTAAAATCGGCATTTCCACAATATGTACAAATATTTTATGGACATCTATTAATCCATACTGGAAATAATAGTAATTGGAAGTCATCAGTTCTGTCTATTTGTAAGACAAGTCCTGCCACAGTATAAGTACATTTCTGTCTCAATATGTGCCATTTTATTAGGTGCCCCTTACTGAAACTAATGCAGTGTAACTCAGAAGGCTTTGAAATGAACTGAGTTTTTCTTAAAGCTGTTTCAGAGAGGTGATAATTCAACTGTATGGTTTACTTAGTGGCCCATCCCTGACTCAGAGTGTTAACCATGCTGTGCTGCAGGTTTGGAGGACAGTGATGGAGGACAACGACATCGAGCAGCAGGAGCCGTTCCCCGTGGACCGAGATGGGCGGCGGCTCCAGTTCACAGAGGACCAGCCCGACGGCAAAAGAAAGATCGGATGTTATGAGAAGTTCCATCTGTTTGTCTCCAAATGGATGCTTCCAGAAGACTCCCGCAGCAAATACCTGGAACGAGCCAACTGCTGCCCTCCCCCCATCTTCATCATCCTCATCAGTATTGCAGAGGTAGCTCATGTCCTGTGTTTGAGTGCTAGGACCATCAGTATGGATTCTGTTATCTAATTATACATGCCGCCTACATATGCTGTCTGGGTTTTAATTACTCTATAGATTTACTGTGATGGTGTTTAGTAGACCAGTTAGAGGTGAGGTTATACAAGGGATATTTTTTAAGTCCTGACACTTATGGAAACTGTTTTATTTTTTTTAAATGGAAAATTGTGGATTTTACTCTGACTAAGTGCTCTAAACTAAGAGGCTTTTGTACAGCAATGAGTTCATTTCTTTCTTCCTGTCTATTTTGGCATCGCCATCCCCACCTCTGAATATCCTGATTCATAAAGTGCAGTCCTCACCAGCGGGCAGTAGGCATGGTGTCAATGAAAACAGTATTTTTCCGTATTTGTATCTTCAGCTTAGGTTCGGTGGGATTCTGAAATCTTTCTTTTTTCCTGAAAGTGTTAAAAAAAACACTGACTTTTGGATTCAGGTTAATAAATAGTGGAATGTGGAGGATCAGTGGTTGAGGAAGGATGCTGTAGCCTCCCAAAACGATGGATTTAAAGCAAGGTATACTGTTTTCATTACAACGTAGGTAAAGCCACTACGAATGCTTTTAAAGTAAGATTGTATTAATGTGAAGGAGAATTACTTAGAAGGACGTTTTTCCAGAGTCCAAAAAATGTAAGACTTGTGAGTAGCAGGAGATGTTTACTTAACTTTCTGTTGGATTTAAAAAATGTAATTCTTTACATAATTTGACTTATTTGTGTCTGAAATGGCTGGTCTGCTATACAATACATTGTAAACAGAAGATTCAAGATTCAAGGCTTTATTGTCATGTGTACAGTAGCTACAGTGTAGATATGGCAATGAACAACTTAAGTCACTTAAGATATTGAATGACATAGTAAAACACAATTGTAATGATATAACATATTGTTGACACATAAAACACATTAATATACACCTACAACGGTCATTGTTTCTACATTATACTGTGATATAAACCAGTAAATAAAGGTTTATAAATGGTAAGAGCTGACACCAAACTCTCTTTCTTATCACTGAGTGTTTTGCACACACCTGCTCATACTTGGGATGAACAGCTCACACGTTGTCGCTCACAGATGTCCACTGTCACTGCATTTGAATGTCTGTGAATACTCATTTATTTGGGAGAGGATGCACTTTATTTATCCAGACAAGATCGACTGAGCTGCAGTGTTGTCTCTCAGCATGCCGTCGCTGTATATTCCCACAGAATTAGCAGGCATTAAGACGTATGAGCTGCAATGGAAACCCCTCTGGGGGATTTTCATTGCAGCTCATACGTCTTAATGCCTGCTAATTCTGATTCATCATTCCCATCTTTATTTTCTCAGCTGTTTAGCTTCTACCCCCACACTTGCTGCTCCAAACAGTTTGTATTCTCTGAAGACTGACTTGTGTATATTTTCTGTTCTTCATCAGCTGGCAGTGTTTATCTACTACGCTGTGTGGAAGCCCCAGAAGCAGTGGGTGACCCTGGATGAAGGCATCTGGAATAGCCCCCTAACATACAAGCCTGAGCTCAGGCAGGAAGCATGGCGCTTTATCTCCTACATGTTTGTCCACGCTGGGTAAGCATGGGCAGTCCTTTTTAGAAACCCTAATTACACGAGTCACTGTGGGGAGTGGAAACATACCCACACACTCTTTACAGTACAGTGTCTTGCCGTATAGTCCATAATCTTTGTGGGGTTTATTTTAGTCAATCAGAGGTTATGATTCAGCTCTTCTGTCATTTTTGAGACTGCAGTTTGTAACCACTGCAACTCTGCTTTTTACAGTGTTCCTAAGTTTGGTATATGTCGTCATGATTTGGACACTTCCCCCTTATTGCTGCGTTGCTTCAGCATGTTGTTATTAGCTTTGTATAGGTGGGTACATGGTCAGACATCTGTCAACACATGGTTAAGTAATTGGATGTGGCGAGCAAACAGTCTAAAAATCATGAGTGTATATAAGCCAAAGGGGAACAAGAAACCATGACTACACAGAAGCACATAGAAAGAGGAACATTCACACGCAAACTTTGACTGATAGACACCCTGCAGGATATTTGCTTAAAGGATAACAAATTCTATGTGTTTCCCAACAAATCCAGTGAAAAGACCATGTAGCCAGAAGTATGTTATTCCTCTTTGCTCTTTTTTCCAAATGTTCCTTTATTTAAATGAACTCAGGCTCTGTAACTTATGTTGAGTCAACCCCACATACAACATCCTGCTAACAAATACTCACTAGTGCACCTAATGTAGTCGGACAAAAGCACTCTTTACTTCTGTTTTATTTACATTTGTATAAACCTAAAGTGCAGCTGTTTCACACAAATCACTGAGCTGTTTTTTTAATAATACTATTATACATTTCTGACCAGTTTAAAAAAATCTTCAATTGGAAGAATAAGCTTTGGGCTAAGTGCCAAAGACAAGGTAGTGTTCTTCATATTGGAAGGCACCGGACTTTTCTTTTAATACCCCTACATTGTTTTAAAAATAACCACCAACACCTAGTCTGTACTGCAGGGCTGTGTATGTTTATAATATACTGTCTTTCCCCCTGACATTTCATCTGGGGAAGTATATGTTGCTTATTGTCCACCTCTGCCTTTAGGGTGGAGCACATCGTGGGGAACCTGGTGATGCAGCTGCTGCTGGGCATCCCGCTGGAGCTGGTGCACAAAGGGTTTGAAGTGGGGATGGTTTACATGGCGGGAGTCTTAGCAGGTGAGTGTCACCTCTTTGGCCCCGTTAGACTAACTCTTTATCGTTACACAAGCCGCTTAGGACTGTGTTTACATCCATATTATCTGCCCAGAGAAATCACCATTGTTTTGTTTGTTCACATTCCTCCTGTTGCATATCCAAAAAATGGACTACTGTTTTAGTTCTGTTTAGATTGGACATGTTTTTCGTGTGTTGCATAAAGGACTAAGCTACCACTACATTACGTTGTTCAACCCTGTTTTGTAGACTGCCAATAAATGAGCCTTGAATCTGTGCTTGATTTCACGCGACTTGATCAAGGTCTGTGAACGCACCGTCGCACCCAGAGATCAAACGCCATCTTGAAGTTGTTTTTTCCTGTTGGAGTTGGATCAAGTCCCGGCCGTCAGAAATGCCACAGATTTTGAAAACTGATCCCTTTCTCTGTTTCCCCTCAGGCTCTTTGGCCAGCTCCATCTTTGATCCTCACAGCGCTCTGGTGGGAGCTTCTGGGGGCGTCTACGCTCTGATAGGAGGGTACTTTATGAACGCAGTGGTGGTGAGTTTACATAAAGCTCAAAGTTGGTATGAAGTGTTTACTTTGCTGTTGTGAGAAGAGACCTTCCACACTTAGTTTTTCCACTGCTCAATGTTTGAGATAGTATGTAAAAAAAATTAGAGAGTATTTGATGTTTTAAATGTATATGTTATACCTAACGTTTACAACGAGAGGACAACACTTTTGATTTTCTCCAATGAATTTACATCACATTTACTTTTAACAACACGTTTCCTGTAGTGGTCTAATAAATGGTCAAAATATAGCAGATAACAACATGTGTGTACACTACCTGCTCGCTCAAATGTTTAAAGTAAATGTCATATTGATGGTCTCTGAACGTCTTTTAAGGGATCATTTGTGTGTGTCCAAAGTACTGAGCACACATCCAATACCTTCATATTTTTGTTTTGAAGCATATTGTTCTGAAATTACTTTTGCATTTCTGTCTTTGTGATTCCTTCACTTTGTTTCCAAGATAATATTAATTCGATGCATTTTGTAAGATAAAATATATATAAGTATGGTGACTGATCATTTGATTTAATTTCCCAGAATTTCCGAGAGATGATTCCTCTCCTTGGAATATTTCGAATCCTGGCCATTGTGATATTTGGTACGTCCATGTATTTTAAACAATTTTTTATTCATTTTATACCTGCTGCAATCACACTTCAAAATAACATTTATACTTTATTTTTCCCCAGTTGGAACAGATTTTGGATTTGCCTTCTACAGAAGATTCGTCGCCCACGAGGATGGTTTGAATGTAAGATGTTCCTTCCTCTGTACAGTAGAGGCTATCAGCAGAAACTAAACCCTTCCTAAACTCTTGCACACAATAGCCTCAAGAGAAACCCAGTTGATCCCGCTAACCTCCCCCAAGCTGACGGTGTCTGATGATGGGTTTGATTTGCTTGTGGCTACAGGCAGTATCAGTAGCTCTTGCTGGGACTTGATTATTCTTCCAGATGAATACCTGTAAAAGGCCACAGACTTATTAAACTGGTCCTGCAGGTTTTTGGGTCCGTGAGTTCGGACCTGCTGAAATCCTCCTGTAATTAGGCCTACAGGTTAACTGACTCTTACCCTCTCTCCGCCCAGGTGTCCTTTGTGGCTCATTTTGGAGGAATTGCAGCCGGGATGACCATCGGCTACGTCTTCTTCAGTGCTTACAACAAGAAGCTCCTCAAAGACCCTCGCTTCTGGCTGTGTATACTGGGTTATGTCATCTTTGCGGTCTTTGCTGTGCTTTTTAATATTTTCCTGAGCCCAGCACCATAGGACAAAAAAAAGAACCCACCAATATTTTTCTTTTAAAATGACCACTATCTGCAGGAATCTGATGAACTAATGTTTTCAGAGAAAAAGTAGCTTTTCAGGGAATTAGTAAATGTAGTGCAGAGGGTATTTGTTGTTGTTTAAATCAGATGTCTTCCTCCTGTTGAAGGGGAATGAGGCCTCCTGCTGTTTATCAGTAGCATTGCAGCTTTTACATTTTAGACTGATGGGCAAAACGTGCCTTTTATAAAGTGAGTAATTTAAAACTGAATTAAATATGTTTACCCTTTTAATATTTTGGTATTATTATGAATGATCGTTTTTACATCTCTTTGTAATTTCTAATCAGGGAATTATTGAACACACTGGTCCTATAAAATGTAATTCTTCCTGTACTACTACTGTTTAAACTCTTAATGTTATGCTACCTTTTGATCACATTCTGATGAATGATCAGGGACTCATATAGACTTTTAGTTGTCATCCAATGTGCCTTAAACCTGCTGAAATCCTCCATCACATTTAACATTGAATGTGATGAAGGCTTTGATGTGTGAGTCTAACTCTTTGTCTTAACTAGAACAAAGAGTTTACAAAGAAGTCTCAAAATGATGCATTTCCGAAAACACAGCGTGACGGCTCCTTCCTTCTAAAAGCAATAGAGCAGGTTTACCATCATGGCTTAATGCCCTGCTATTGTTTCAGGCACTTCCTGTTGACAGGACACGGCTGATTACATGTTGAGTGTTTAAACATGATTTACCAGTCTTATCCTTCTCTGTCAATTTTCTTTCTTTTTTTACCTTGGAAAGACAAAAATGTGGCTTTAAACATATGCAGTTTTTGGAAACACCATCTTAATACTATTAGTGGTTTATGTCTGGTAAATGTACTTAATTTATCTAAATTCAAAGGTAATCTATGACCAAAGAACTAACCAAAACCTCCTACTCCATTTCAAGAGCTAAGTGTTTAATGCGTTTTGAATAAAGTGATGTTTTTTTCAAGGATTGTTTTGTCAAATTGCATCCGAACCTATGAGAGTCATGATCTTATCTGATAAATAGTTACAGATTTAACAGTAAACACCTTTTGTATAGTCCTCAGATTCATTTTTTAGCAGATAACACATTGCATGTACAGTGGTTTGTTTGATTGTTTATATATCAGATTCAACCCATATAGCAGCATCTGCTTTTACAGTATGTGGAAAGTTCTATAGTTTCCAAACATAGCACATCAATACAACTTACATATCAATACTCAATTACCATGAGCATGTTTGCCTAGACCCTGAACCACTGTGAAATGGTATGTTGTCCAGCAAACAACGCTCTGTTGTCACAGCACTGCTAAAACCTTGCAATGTGCAGTTTTTCAGCTTTTCAATCTTATTTTAAATATTTTGCTAGTGTTCATTGTGTAATGAACATACTGTATGTCCTTTCATAATAACTCATGATATTCTTGCTTTAAAGTACAATGCTGTAGGTTTCATAATTTGGTCTGATTATGCCCATCGACAGCAGACACAGTAGCCTCAACAGACATCTTGCTCTTCATAAAAGGTAAGGTTTAAATCTAATTTATTACCCTGTAACATGGTATTTCTTTTAGACCTTAAATGCTGGATGTGTGCCATTGGGAAAGTCAGAACTGAAGTTATTTATAGAAAATACTGCCAACTGCCTCACGGCTATACAGGATATCTCTCACCATGAATGCCTGCGGAAGGGAATTATTTATTTCCTAGGATGGCAAAGTCATGTCCGGCCCTACCCCACCTCTGATTGGCTGAGGCTGAGGTCAGGCTCCGTTCATTTGGTCAACAAAGACAGATGATATAGAATCTCCCTTCTTACATCAAACATATGTCTCAGATGTTGGATTTGAGATGTCTAATAAGTAAATTAAAAGTGGAAGTGTACTAGAGGATTAAGTCTACACAGAACACTTCACTAACCTTAATATTGTGGTAAATGTTTGTATAAAACGTAACATCTGTACATTCTGCACAGTGAAGGTCAAACATCTGAGTGAAGTAACAAGCTAAAGATCCAAAATGCTTTATAACCACCTGAAATAGTAGGCATATTTACCTATACTGTTTAATTTATATTCTGTGATATATTGTAGATAAAACATGTATACATTTTGTCAAATAAACTTTTTAAATTTTGAATCAATGAACTGTGTTTTTCACCAGTAAGCCAGGGAATGTCCCGGGGATAATGTAGAGGCTAAAATTGATTTTTCTGATTGAAAAGAGGGGAAATAACACTGGGATTTTCCCAATATGTTACCCCAGAGTGACCCTCTGCACCCCTAATGTGTCGGTATGAGACTGGTGGAATCAATCCAAGTTCAGCATCAAATTAGAAAAAACATCACAGCTGAGCTGGTGGGTTGAATCTTGTTAAGACAAATTAACCCAGATCCTCCCACTTTTTATTAATAGTTTGTGTTAACAAGCATGTTCATCACACAGGGGCATTTAAAGGTATTTAGACTTGGACGCTGAGTGAAAAAGCCATCCAGCGGTTGGCAAGCACACTAATCCATCGGATAGATTTCTTATAAATGGGATAAAATAATGTGTAAAGTGCATGAGAACTTAATTACACCCAGATAGGAGCAGAAGGGACTCGATGACCCATTGATGACTTTGCTACAGAAGAACACTATTGATCGTGCGAGCCCCGAGAGAACAACATGGACTACTGTTTTCTCTTTGTTTCTATGTATGAAGCAAATACACTGAGTCTGGAACATAGTCTTGGTATTTCCCCCACACCTGCTGTACACACCCAAATGAGCCTTAAAACGTATGTGTAGTGAGGTATCATTTCTGCTAATTACGGCATGCACTGTTTCTGTTTGCAAAAAGAAAGTCTAATAAAAAAAAGTGAGGTCAACATCTCTGTTACAAATGCTACCAGCCCCATCACTGTGAGGCCATCTAAATGCCTCAGTGAAGCTGTGTGTATTGATCAGCTCGTGTCAGAATGATGTTGGCAGCCTTCCCTCAACAACTCGGTTGCTCCCACTTTGTTTCTGGCAACACAGAGGCAGAAGCGGGTCATCGAGGTTTAGGCTATGAAGGGACTCATTTGGAGGGTGCTAACGATTTAAAAAAACTTTTTGGTGACCGTGCTGTATGACCCGAGGAGATTTAAGTCACCACCGGCAGTCTGTCCACGCCGCTGCAAGGTAAATTGGGACACCAAATGATCAGATGTTTGCCGTTGGGTTATATAATGACACTGCTGAGGGGAATCGTTTTATCATGACAAAACTGGGAAGCTGACCAGCCGAGGGGACATATCACTGGATGTACCAGCTTTCTCTTTCTACTCTATCTTTTTTTGCAAATATGTAGCATTAACGCTTTTTTTTTTTAATGTTTTTTTACAATTTAATGTTTCATTTTTCAAATTGAGAGGTATTGTACTTTATTGATAACTCCATTGTTTCTGCAAAATCTAAAGGACTATTTTTACAATTGCTTCAGTTTTTTGGTGATTCATCAAAAAACATTCTAATCTAAAAAGGCTGCTTGGATTGTCAAAATGCATTTGCTGTCTGTCTTAAAATTGCAACTTATTTCCTCAAAGTTGCACTGTACTTCTTTTTACTGTATGCTCACCTTTTTATATACACACTTTAAACTGTTTTTCTAATGGTGTCATCCCTCTCTGTCACTTTCAACCAGTCAAAATGGCAGAGTGAAGATGGGGGACTGGAACTTCCTCGGGGGGATTTTGGAGGAGGTGCATATCCATTCCACTATGGTGGGCAAGATCTGGCTCACCATCCTGTTCATCTTCCGCATGCTGGTCCTCGGCGTGGCAGCTGAGGACGTGTGGAACGACGAGCAGGCAGACTTCATATGCAACACTGAGCAGCCGGGGTGCAGGAACGTGTGCTACGACCACGCTTTCCCAATATCCCTCATCCGCTACTGGGTGCTGCAGGTCATTTTTGTGTCTTCTCCCTCGCTGGTTTACATGGGCCACGCTCTCTACAGGCTGCGGGCGCTGGAGAAGGCCCGGCAGAAGAAGAAGGCTCTGCTGAGGAAGGAGCTGGAGTGGGTGGATGTGGAGTTGCCAGAAGCCAGGAAGAGGATTGAGCGGGAAATGAAGCAGCTTGATCAGGGGAAGCTGAACAAAGCTCCACTAAGAGGCTCTCTGCTGCGCACCTACGTGGCTCACGTTGTCACCCGCTCTGTGGTCGAGGTGGCCTTCATGACCGGACAGTACCTCCTTTATGGCTTCCACCTCTACCCGCTCTTCAAGTGTGAGCGGGATCCGTGTCCCAACGCTGTGGACTGCTATGTTTCCAGACCCACAGAGAAGAGTGTCTTCATGGTGTTCATGCAGTGCATCGCTGCCATCTCCCTCTTCCTTAACATCCTGGAGATCACGCATCTGGGTTACAAGAAGTTAAAAAAGGGCATCTTGGACTTCTACCCTCACTTTAGAGACGAGAAGTTTGAACTTGATGACTTCTACGCCAACAGGTGTAAAAAAGAATCTGTTGTGCAGATGTGCAGCAGTGCTCCACGGAGAGCAACCATTGCCTCTGCACCCTGTGACTACAACCTCCTGATGGAGAGGATGCAGGGCACTACTATGTACCCAAACCTTATCAAACCTTCGACTTTTCTGTCTCCTCAGGGTGAGCAGAAGGATTTGGATGTGTCCAGATGTTTAGCTCATAGCATCCCACATAGTAACGGCACTAACGACCCTTGCTCTCTGTGCTGTGACCCCCTCATTAATCCAAAGCAGGAGGCTGAGGACTTGTTGCATCTTCAGAGTAAAGAGGATGGGGGCAGTGAAAGAGGCAGCCCGGACTCTCCAAAGAGCCCCAAGAGGGCAGCAGACCCTTCCTCCTTCCCCACGCTGCCAGTGAGTGCAGCGAGGAGGCCGTGGAGGGGTCAAGGGTCCTTGAAATGCTCCACAGTGTTGGAGGGTAGAAGCTCTGACTCTGATTCATATGGGGGGGAAAGAGCCAGCAAAGGACCTCCCTCCACTCAGAAATCAGACGGCAAACATCAGAGCCGGCCCTCCAGCCCCGACTCTCTGTATGACTCCAGCTCAGGGTCCAGGCACAACCCCAGACCCCCCTCCTCCAACTGCAAAACATCCGTGGCAAGCAATGCAAGCAGCAGACGGGCAGATCTGCAGATCTAAACTCCAAATGTTACAGGTGTATAGATGCCACCGTCATATCTACATTAACAGCACTCTAAGCTGCCTCATAACTGGTGAGCGTTTGCTCATATTTTGTTTTTGTTCTTAACATTAAGTATAATATTGTGGCATGCTTTAAACCCCACTGTGATTTAGCTAATGGAAATGACATGTAAACTGGCTTTTGTTGACATATTACAATAGAGGACTCTGTAAAGTATGTTTTATGTACTTTTTCAACTGTTTTGGAATAAACTATTTTCTATTGTGACAAACTGCTGGTACAAGCATACATCTTATTGGTTTAACAAGAATAGAAAGGCCTGCGATTGGACACAAATAGCTGTCAATCACATCATTGAAGAGAAATGCCACTATATCTGGCAACAGAACTTTCCATTTGGGCTGGGAACTATTTTCTCATTTCATTTTTATTTCTGAAAATAGTAGCACTTTGACAAGTCACTTTTTAAAATGTACAGTAGCATGGTATGGTAGACTTATGGCGCAAATGTGTACATTTGTAGAAACTTTATTTCTGGGTTGTTAGGGCATTAGTCGGGGGGGGGATTGAGTAAACATTCATCAGTTTGCTGAGCATATCAAAACTGTTGGATTACTCTCTGGCTTGATAGTTTTGACTCATAAATGTATTTATATTAAACCTCGTAAAAACATGACCTTTTTTCTGGTAAACAAAGTCTTCATGTTATTAATATATTTATTAAGGTTCATGAGAAGATCTTTTCTTCATTTGCATTGGTATAAAATGTAAAAGGAATGACTGTTATACAATATTGACATACAGCTGTATCTGACAACAGCATGAGATCCTCTGCTTTTCAAATAAAAGTCCTGACTGGTACATCGCTCTTTGGAATCGAGTTCAATCAGTGATACGACAATGTTTGGAAGAATGTGCTTTATTTAACAATTGTTTAGTTACAAGTGTGTCTTTGTCACATATCGCCATGACAGCATGTGTGTTTATAACTATGAAAGAAAATAAAATTAACAGCATATCTGTTATTTTCTTTTACAGACACTCCAAAATAACTAGATGTCCTATGTCTTAATAACTGACTTATTCAGTCATATAGAAGTGAGTTTTCTTAGTTAAGATAAAGACGTAACAAACAAGTAACAAACTTATATACATACATGTACAGAATAAGTTAAATTCTAATAAACATATTAGAAAATAAGATTTACAGAACCAGGTACTTACAAATTCTTGGCCCTTACGTTCAAGTAAACAAAATAAACAAATACCACATTATTTAGGCCAAAACGCTGCTGTAATCTCGGCGTCAGTTTTCAGTTGAGGCTCCATCTTCAGGTTCATTGAGCTGCAGGAGGAGAAAGGGAATCTTTGTTACAATACATGATGTTGACACGCACATAAGTACCATAGCAACCAGCAGAAGCTTACCCTTGATTTAAGCTCTTTGTTTTCCTCTACCAGACAAGCGTTCCTCTGCCTTAAGTCAATCACTTCCTGCTGCAGAGCCTCAGAGTCGGCTGACGACTGACCCGCAGAATTGAGATGCTGCTTCACAAATCTGAGAAGGAGTTGGTTAAGGGCTCTAAAGCGAGCAATGGCCTCCATTAATAACATCTGCACATTACTCTTTACCATTGTTGTTGATGGAGTGTTGTTGGTGGACTTGAACTTCAGTCAGAACTAACTTAACAAAGAGACCATTTCTGCAAACAATCAATAGAAGGATACTCCAGGGCATTGTTGGGCTTGTCAGGTTGTTCATACAAAGCCACTAAAACTGGAGAAAAAAAAGATGCATACAGGAATTATGAACAATGCTGATATGGGCTTAATATAATTGCCTGTTGACCAAATCTAATAAAGAAAAATGAGATAAGTTGAATACTTGGTCTTTCTTACTTGGTTTCTTTGCCTAGATATTTCCTAAATAAATAACAATTTATACTTTTTCTATACTATATTTATGTTCTCGACATTTGCATTACTTTGCTTGTATTTGTATTTCCTCTTTATATGTTTGTTGTAGTCACCTAACACCAAGGCATAATGACTTAGTAAATAACATTAGCAATCAACCTTACTATAAAAGGTCTGCCATTAGATGATGAAATGTTTGTATTGAAAGTTGTACATATTACCCAAGTCCAAAGGTAGAAAAAAGGTGGCATACCACTGGTAAGACTGTCAACAACACCAGTTTTCTCCAAGTATCTCCGGAACTGTTCCCTTTTGGAGTCAGGAGCCTGTAGGAGAAACATCATTTTATTACTAACATAACAGTCAGGTACAGTTAACTAAAATCCCCCATAGAAATAGGTGCCAAAAAGCATGGATAATGTTTTAACAAAAAAACAACAATAAGAAATACAAGATAAATATATATATATTTTAATTTGAAATGTTTGTATTTAACTTTTATTTTATTTCTAAGACATTTTGTAACTATTGTATATTGACTGTTAAAATGCTGCTGCGACAAAACAATTTCCCAACTTGAGATAAAAACGTATACTCTATCTAAATGACTAAAACACTCCACAGTGGTAATTTACATGAATGTCCTGCTTAATATTACATAAGATTTAACTAACAACACATAACAGTATTTGGTGTATTGACATTATCTTTCATACGTTTATCGACAAACATTTACAAACCACATAATGAGCTGTCACAGGTGTTCAGGCTGATGTCACTGATTGACACCATTTAACTGCCCAGGTAGCTAATGTTAGCTCAGATAGCTTGCATTAAACTTTAGTAGACGAGTTTCTTCAAATAAATAATTAATAAAACGCGACAGCAAACACACTTACTCTATAATGTGCCATGGTGATCAAGGGCTATAAAGTTGACTCTCTTCTTATAAATGTTATGTTTTTTGTATCACGCTCGATAGGGCCAAACAAAACGTTCGGCGGCAGGTAAAGCTCCGGAAAAGTTCAGTTTCGTTTATCGCCTTCTTTCAAGGAGCAACGGGCCTGGTGGGGAGGGTGATGCCTTCGGGTGTTCCTCGGAAAAACAATAAAATGTATCGCACGTAAGTAGAGCTACATTCATCACTTTATTTGAGTATTTCCATGTTATGCTACTACATTTAAAAGGGAAACTTTGTTTGCCTCCAACAGTAAAATGCTACTTGATTCAACAATATTATATATACATGTCACATATATAAATATAATTATACTCACACATAAAGGCCATTACTTTTACTTTGTATACCTTAAATACGTTTGGCTGGTAATATTTTGAATGCAGGACTTTTACTTGTAATTAAGTATTTTGACAATAATGTATTGGTACTTTTACTCAAGTAAAGCATCCTAATACTTTTTCCACCACTGTGCAAATCTACCTGCATAAAAAGCACACACGAGGGAGTCACTTAATTCCGACATTTTACAGAGACCTTGAAAGTCGCTACCTCACTGAAGTGGTGACTGCCACTTTTGCATTCATTCGTCACTTCTTTTTCAGTTATTTTTTTACTTAATATGTTTTTTTTTTAAATTGTGACGTCCTGTCTGTATACACGTGCTTTAAAATGTATTGTTTAATTTTACATATTTGTCATATAATAATCTGAAAAAAATAATAACTGAAAAATAAGTGACGAATGAATGCAAAATCCAGGATTCGACAGTCTGAAAATTACCATTAAAAAAACCCTGGATGTATACTTTTCGTTTTAAGTATCGTTTTAAGGTCTAAACGTTTCATTTAGAAATGCGCGTTCCCGTGACACGGGGTGCATTTCAAGAAGGGGGTGAATAATTTGACACAACACCGGCATCTGCTGGTGATATTGCAGAACACTAGCACAACCCACTTTCTATTTAGTATGTTTTTAACAACCTTAATCAAATGTTCACTTATTTTACAGCAAATATGATGCAGCAATTATGAGTTTTTGCTACGAACTCAAACAGATTTAAACGATTGTGTCAAAAGTGTGTATCTGCTTCTTATTCGGGTGATAGGTCACAAAACAGGTCTGAGTACTAGTCAGGTGACAGCGAAAAACCTCAGTAGAGTGACAGGTTGCTTAAACCAATCACAGCTCGTCTTTGAATTCAGTCAGCCAATCAGACCCAAGGGGTGGGAACAAAGGGCGAGAGGAAATCCTAAGGAAATGTGTGGGATCACGCTCGGTGTTTCCAAGTAGCCTGAGCGTTATTGACAAACTGTTTTCATTGTGTAACGGTAGCTTGTGGTGCGCACCGTTCCTCCGACACAATAACGGGTGTAGTGACCGACAAGTAAGAGGGGGGGAAGAGGGGAAGCGATAGGTCACAATGTCGATTCAGTACGAGGTGGAACAGCTGGCTGACAGCTACGGGGTTGCGGACTCGTTCCCCAAAGATTTCGGTTATGGTGAAGAGGAGGCCGACATCGAGGACAGCCCGTCGCCGTCCGACAGCAAGCCGAGGATCCTGCTCATGGGTCTAAGAAGAAGTGGAAAATCATCCATACAGAAGGTAAACAGAGATGTTAAACTAGTAGCCTTTTGAGGCGAGCTTCCCTTCAGCCTTACACAAGTAAATGGGACGTTAGCCAGGATAGCTAGTTTAGCATGTCGTAGGTGATGATAGCTATGAACCTGCAGATAGCTAGCCACATGAGAGGAATAACTGCAATTAAACCCCCTCCTGCAGCTAATGCCTAGCTAGCCTTCAGTGTTAGCTAACATTTGTGCAGCTGTAGTGGTGAATTATTAACCAGGTGGACAGGAGCTCGCTGGGTGCATCCTTACTGATACATGGACATAAAAGCATGTGACTGTTTGGTTAACAACTTATCCAACATGCCAAATATATCTTAGTCCCACCCTCGCAGCTGTGAGGCAGGTCTGATGTGTAGCTCTCACATGACCCGACCACACCTTCCTTTCTGCAAGTCATAACACTTTGCTTTAAATCAGTGCACCTGCAGTGTGGCCGACATGCTCTCTAAAACATGGCTGGATAAAGGAGTTAGGGGCCCTCGACTGACCCTCCTCCTACCATCTCATGTGTAGCATGATCCCTTTCAAGTCCAGAGCACCACCCCTCACAGGGTTTCCCCTAGAATATGTTATAGATGTGCTACAACAGCAGATCCTGAAGCAGTTTGTCTTGTGATCAATTTACTTGATAGATGAAGACTTTTAGCAAACAATAGTCACAGTTGATACTTATATAGCTTACGCTGTAGGGAATACAACCTCTATTTTGTCCCCTTCAGCTTGTATTGGGTGTTTCTTAAAGGTTTAATAATGCTTTTGCAAGTTGCAATGGTCCACCTTTGATACAAAAGAAATGCAGGAAAACCAAACTTCTATAATGGAATAATAATCAATGTGTTTTCATGTGTGGCAGTTCAACCTCATTTTAAAATTGAACCATTTGAGCACAATATCAAGTATAATAATAATAACACTTTTAAAATAAGATTTTGACACAGGTTCCCTCTTCAAGACATGCGCACAAGATAAGCCTTGTAAACATCATACATTAGTGATATCAATTCAGACAGATTTGGGCATAATTAAACCAATTGACATGCAATGTTCCTGGGGCTTTTGGGGCCCCTACTTCCCCTGTTGGCCCTTTGGTACTGCCTTTTATTTTTCATGATCCATCTAACTCCCGACTGCAAGGTTAGCTGTTTCACTTAAATTCGTCAAGTCTACCTCTTTCTGACGGGCCCTGAGGTTGAATAATAGATGAGTAGCAGTGGTGCCGTCTTTGATATTTTATTATTTATGTTCAAAATCAAGAGGGAAGTAGAAACAGACTGCATGTAGCGTGACTCGCCAGGAGCCAAACCTCCTAACACTGCCTGAAGAAACAAGAGCAGAGAAGTTTTCTGTACTGAAGCGCACACTTGTACTGTTTTTGCTATAATCCACACCCGTCAGGTCTCAGATTAATGTTCCCCTGTAAGCCCCCGGTACCGGCTGAAAAACATGTGATTTGGCTTTTTGCTGGTTCATTGGCCTGTGACCTCAGTGGCCCACACACTGACTCCAAATGTCTTTCACCATCAGCCACAGCAGCTGGGTTTCTACCTGTAACTGTATTCAGTTCAACCTTTAACCACACTTCACTTCATAAAGCTGCAGTCTTACTCTCTGCTGTTTGAGCATACCGCTGAAACAAGCTGAGGGATTTGTGGCATTAAAATGAGTCTGCAATAGTTCTCTCTCAGCGTGTGACGTCCTAATGATGCTTTTGAGATAGGATAACAAATAATTCTGGAGTAACCTCTCCCGTGAGAAAAAAACATTATTTCTATACAGGCAATTTTGCAACATACAACATGGTCGCATTAAGAAGACATAACCACTGCAATATTAGAAGCCAATCATACATATGCTGTATGACGGTGAATCTATATACTGTATGCCAACATACATCATAATTTTATAATAAATGAGATGGAAGAATGTGAAACAAATGATTACTATATCCTCACAGACAATAAAACTAAGCAAAAGACAAAAGCTGACATGGGGCTGTACACCCGATATGTCTGAAAATTACACAAACAAATATTCTTTTTAGGGAACTGGATCTAATTTCAATATTTTCTATCATCAAAACCAATACAGGCATCCACTTTTCAATACAAAAAGTACGAGGGGGATTTCTCTATTCAAATAACTCAACTTATTAACTTGAACACCAGAGATTGGTTTTTGGCTCTAATATTATTGTGAAGTACTGTAATCGTTAAGCCAAGTGTTGTTGAATTCTGATGAGATTCCACTGTCACAAGCTGTATACGGGAACTATATTTCTTTGTCTGAAAGTAGCTCGGTTGTTTTCTCATAACCTGCTCGTCCGCTTTTGGCATGTCAACTTGGCCATCGCTCTGTCTGGGACTTATATGGGTACTTTTGTGCATCATAGCATTTCTTTTACTCAAGCACTTTTTGGATTTCAGGTGGTGTTCCACAAAATGTCTCCCAATGAGACCTTGTTCCTGGAGAGCACCAACAAGATCTACAAAGACGACATCTCCAGCAGCTCCTTCGTCAACTTCCAGATTTGGGACTTCCCGGGTCAGGTGGACTTCCTCGACCCTACCTTCGACTACGAGATGATCTTCAGAGGAACGGGGGCTTTGATATTCGTCATCGATGCTCAGGTGAAAAACAGAAACAAAACATTAATGGTCATAAACCGAGGAAGGGAAAAGTGGTTTCACAGCAACACTTTTGGGGGGTTTATACTGGTTTTAGATATGAAAAAAACCAGTTTCATGTTTTTAAATACTCTTATAAATGACTCTGACCTGCTTGAACCCATATTTCCTTTTCGTCGAGGTGAAAGTGCACACATAAAGGGAACAAACTTGTATTTTGAGTTCACACTGTTCATGTAAGGCCCTTGAAAAGCCCTTGATACTTGATAATAAGTGATGGACAGCCAGAGTAGCCATGGTAAAAACAATTACATGCCCTGGCTTTTATGTCAGTGCTCAAAGTGCTTTCAAGAAGTAATCTCAGCGATGACATTAGAAACAGCAGATGTGATTGCAGGGTTTATTTGTACACAACAAGGTGCATCAGATTCGATTAGTTTCAGCACTCTGTCACACGCTGATATCTGAGGAGACGTGTGCTGGTGTTGCTGTTTCGCTAGACAATGTAGCATTACATTTCCTCATTCCTGGTTTAAAGAACATTATGTCCGCAAGCAACAGATGATTTTTAGCTTATAAAAACATGTTGTCACTCTAACATTTTCAAAAGATGGGTGTGTTGATTTCTACTGTCAGGAATTCACTGTGACCTTATTGTCTATGGTTGTGACATGGTTCAAATCCCAGTTTACCTCTAAATTATAATCTTTTGGTTAACTAAAATACTCAAAAGGGCTGCTTATAATGTTAATCAAAGCAGAAGATGGATTAGAAGAGGGAGATTTCATTTTGAGGCATTCAAATGTATACAAAATCCTAATTATTTTTGTCTTTACTGCTGACGGTATAGCAGAAATAAAGGTGATTCATGATTTAGGGATGGGTATCGTTAAGGTTTTAACGGTACTACTACTTTTATCGATAGCGCTTATCGGTCCGGTACTTTTATCGGTTCTTTTGGAGAGAGGTAAACTAACTATATGTTGTATGTCAGGGACTACGAATGGAAATGAGCTCCAAGCTAAAATCCGGCATATTTATACTTGAAGCATTATTTGTCTAAAGTGTTCATTAATGTGCATTGTCCCTATTCAAATAAACGATTAAATGAAAAATGAAAATAAACAAATTGTGAACAAAACTAACATTGCTTTTTATTTAAATGAAATACATAATATTTCACATCAAAAGAAACAACGTTTTAACAAATCGTATTAAATAATCTGATGACAGAACTGTGAACAGAATAGCTGAAACTTTAACAAAATAAATAACTCAGTTACCTCTAATCATTAGCCCATGTTTGTATCATTGAGTTAGCTCCGTGTGTTGCTGCTAGCATACATAACACGTTACTCGTGGATGGGGCTACAGAGCCACTAGAAAGACAGTCGAACCCGGTGCATTTCTCCGTCTGAATGTGGTGCACTTTTGCTAAAGGTTTAGACAAATTGCTCGTGTTACCGCCCTTACATGCTAAACTCTTATTGCACTTTTGGCAACGAGCTTTGTCCAGATCGAGACGGGTAAAGTTTAACCACACCTCGGAGCGCGTTCTCTCCGCCATCTCCTCCGTGTGTGTGTGCTGCTGCATGTAGCAGAGCGTGTGTGTAAACTGCCCCGCTCCCTCGCAAGCAGGCGGGGGAGAGAGATCGAAAATACAAAAAATGACGCATTTTGCAGTCTTCTTGCGTATTAGAAACGGAGTTGGCGACACTAAAACGGCAATATAATGTTTGTGTAGCAATAATACATATGACATATTTTTTACATGTCTCCAGTACCGATAAAAAGACCGATAACGTCGGAGCTTAACGGTACCACGGTCTTTAATAATTCAGCCCCGGGGCCTGTTTAATACCGGGGCTCGGTACCCATCCCTATTCATGATATGGAGATTGATTCAATTTAAGAAGAAGATTATTGTGATCTAAAATGAATTCTAAGGTACTTGTAGATTTGTTTTTCGTAATGCATTTTCGGTCGTTTTATGATTCACTTCCTGATTATATGTGCATATAGAGTGCCACAGTGACGCGTCCTAAAACCCGGAAGTAAACTCCTTCCGGTTCCTTCGACAAAAACCAATGCAATTTCTCCATAGGATTTTGGAAAATAGCTCGAAATAAGGTCTGTGGTTGACACACATTTAAGAGACGGATCACGTTTTGTTCAGCCGGATAATATCCACATGTCTACCCTACTTTTATAATTTTCGAATCATAAATCTAGTCACCAGAAGCTAAATGCTAACGTTATGCTATAAACGAGCTACAGCAGGGTCGCTGCTTCAACGTCACGCCAACTTAAGATCCAGATTCAAAAGTGTACAAGTTGAAGCGTTTGTTTGAACAGTTTGCAGGAGGCAGGTACTTGCTTTCAAGCAGAACAGGGGCAAACAAACTTAGCGGGAGTGTTTACGTGTTCGGTGTAATGACGGCCTCGACAACTTCTGTAGTCCTATTCAGCCACTTGTTAACAACCATCGTTTTTCAGACACGTAAACTTGTCAAAAATCCCCAGTGGGGTCACTGCTGATGTATTTAATGTCGTAGAACAAAACGTGATCTGTCTCTTCAATTTGTGTCAACCACAGACCTTATTTCCAGCTATTTTCCAAAATCCTATGGAGAAATTGCATTGCTTTTTGTCGAAGGAACCGGAAGTGGTAAAAATGCTAACTTACTTCCGGGTTTTAGGACACGTCACTGTGGCACTCCATTAAATCGGTGTTTTAAGATATGACCTTTTCCTCCTCTTAGGACGACTACGTGGAGGCCCTGAGCAGGCTCCACCTCACAGTGTCCCGCGCCTACAGAGTCAATCCAGAGATAAACTTCGAGGTCTTTATCCATAAAGTGGACGGCCTCTCAGACGATCACAAGATCGAGACGCAGAGAGACATCCATCAGAGAGCTAACGACGACCTGGCCGACGCTAGTTTAGAGAAGCTGCATCTCAGGTAACCTTCATCTAACATGTCTTATCATTTAAGAAGAAATATTATATCCTGGCTTTCCACACAGTCACATGTTGGTATAGAAAGTATTGCTGATTAAGAGTTGCACACACACACACACACACACACACACACACACACACACACACACACTGATGTATACACAGACCTGTTATCTGCACATATTGCGTCAGTTTCACTATCACTCCTCCATCAATGTAAGGGCTTGCAAATAGGCTCTTCTACTTTGCCTACTAACACCAGACTCCATAAATATAAAACTAAGATATCATTTTAGAACACCTATATTAAATGGAGTATTATTCCGATTTGAAATAACACCATAGCATATTGGTATTGTTTTTACATCAGGGTGTGCTGCCTGCATGTTTATACTCATTTAAAAAAAAAGTGCCTTTTTAAAAAAAACACAAGAATGCACAATGGTGTTAGATCTTTTAAAGACACTAGGTCAGACTTAAAGGGTTACTATACGATAAAACATTTCCATGAGCACGTTTGCGACTTTTGTTATAGTATATTTTCCCGATAATTAAGTCTGGTTTTAAAAAATGGACACTTTTTCAAATGTATAAAGAAACCTTAATCCTTCAGTTCATCTTACAATATGAACAATTGAAGTGGCATGGTTAGTTTGGGCTGCAACGACTAACGGTCACTGTTAAAGCAACGGCCTACCTTACCAACCTGATGCTTAATCATTACATTGCATTTAGCTGACGCTTTTATCCAAAGCGACTTACAATAAGTGCATTCGACCAAGAAGATACAAACTTGAAGAAAACAGAATCATATAAGTTCATCAGGTTTCATAGAGCCAAAACATTTCAAGTGCTACTCAATCACACTTATGTACATATTTGTTTAACCACAGCAGCCCACAAAATGCTTACAGTAAGACTGTGGGTCAGCAGGGCAGATTTACCCAAATTCGATAAAACACATTGTTGTAGCATTGAAAATAACTCTTCATAGTTTGGTACAGGAACTAATCTGAAAACAATTCCCTTTAGAGAAACACCTTTACATAACTTCACACTGATGCTGGCCTAAAGTCGGCTCATCTGAAACATTGGTTAAAGGGATCTTCATTCTTACAGATTTCTTAAGACATGTGTGACATGTTTTGTCTGCTTTCTTATCTGCATGTTAAACAGTAATTCATAATCTTGTTTCTTGCATGTTCCTAATAAAAGACAAGTTAGTCCTCTAATGTAGCCCATCTTGTGATGTCTCATGGTGTTTGGTGAGTTGTAACTGTAGTTGCTAAGTAAAACATATTAATTCAGTATTTCTCTAAAGACATCGGTGTTAAAACAACCTAACACATGTAGGTGCTAATATTCAGCCAGTCACACCCTCACTGCATCACATATGTGTTAATTTAGTAAATAAGGCTGCATTCACAAACAGTTTAAGGTGTCCCAACTTTCTCTGCACATGTCGTACAACATCATTATCACCCCAGGCGTTTGACTTAATGAAATGTAGTCCTAGAGATGGTTCTATGGTAAACCCAGTAGTTCAGAGTAGGAGCTTAATGGTTGCTTGGTTCTGTGATGTCAGCCATGTTGGTGTCCTGCATTCTCGCTGTGTTACTGTGAGATTCCTCTTTGTGCTCCTAATGAAGAAACATTGACCCGTGCTTCAGATACCAGAGAAGTTATTATTCAACCAAGGTCTGACATGTTTAGAAAGAAGACTAAAGTTCACATCTAGCGTTTGGTATTTTGAAATTGATCGAATTTCTGTCTTAGCAAAACGTTTTGTAACTTGAAGAAACAGCCCTGAGTAGAGCTCAAAATGATTAATGGTTTAGGAACAAAATGTAATTCATGAAAGTATTGTCAATTGATGCAAGACACGGTGACATTTGTTCTAATAAATCACTATTTTTTGTATTATTTTCGTGTTAGATGTGAAGTTTTGCTTTTTGCCATTTTGGTCTGTAAATGAAATACCTCTGACATGTTTTGGATTACTGTTCAATCCAAATTAGACTTCTGATGACCGTGGTTATGCATGACTATTCATGTCATCATTACATTATTCTAGATTAACAGCTATAAGGGAGAATAAGCGATTGGTTGATGGAAAGATAATGTGTTGGTTACAATTTTGATAATTGATGCAATCGGGGCTTTCTTTTGAGTTAAAATGGCAGAAATCCACTCAGGTTCCAGCCTGTCAAATATAAGAATGACTTTATTTTCTGTCCTTATTGTAAATAAAATATTCTGTGCTTTTGAATTGTTACAGAGACAAAACCAACAAGACACCAATGGGATGTCATTCTGGGCTTTGGATAATAATAGTTTTTAGGATATTTTATAGAAACTAAATCAACTGTTTACTTTGTAACGCAACAAATTGTTTGTTAGAGCCCTAATCAAAAATAAACAAATCAATATTTGCAGCCTTTGCCCTGACACGCTGTAGGAGCTTGTTGTGTATGACACACACACACACACACACACTCACACACTCACTCACTCACTCTGCAGCAGCTTCTCTGGATGTTTGTTGGCACACACTGCTCTGTGTTTTATGTCGGGTCAGATTGTAGTTTATTCCGGTTAGACAGCAGGAGCACTCCCAGATATATTGCAGAGCTTTTTCTGCACCGTGGTTTCCTGCACTTCCTTCACTGTCATGCATTGAAAGGTTGAGCTATCACAGAACATTTTATTGGCTTCCTCGTGATCTTTTCTATTTGCACATGTCGGTGTAAAGTCTTAAACATGTGTCCAGTTTCATCATATGAAGTTTCCTGCCAACATTGTATTTGTATTCCTGTGAATCAGACTTAAATACTGCAGTTAACAGCTCTTTTCTTCCATGTCATGTGATCTCGTGACTATCTGTACTTTGACTTGCTTTCATGTGTGTTTTGAGGAAGTAAGAAGTGTTTCCTATCCTAGTATCTGCTAATTCACTTCCTTTTTTGTGTTTTTTTCTCATTCAGCTTTTACTTGACGAGTATTTACGACCACTCCATCTTTGAGGCCTTCAGCAAAGTGGTGCAGAAGCTCATCCCTCAGCTCCCCACTCTGGAGAACCTGCTCAACATCTTCATTTCTGTAAGTAGAGAACAGACAACTCTTTGTGATATGGACAATGGTATTTAAACAGCTTATCTTGTTTAAGAAAAGTATATATTCGTCAGGCAAAAAGCCTTTAGAAAAGGTAAAGAGTCCAAACGTCCAGCTCTCTTTTGAGACCTCTTATGTCATGATTAAGCACTGAAAATACTTCAAAGAGGATTTCATTAAACTCAGTGTCTCTGCCTTTAACATGACTTGAAAGATTCGGATTCATGGCTATGTATATTGTTCTCTGTTGGCCCATTTCCTTAACTGGATGATTAAAGAGGCGTTTAAATATGAAGTGAACACTTTATTTTGAAGCTGTGTGGAGTGAACTACACCAAAGTGAAGCCCAGGGTAACTACTTATCCTAAAGAAGTGGGGAATAAGGAGAGAATCCTCTAGCCTATATTAACATTTCAATATTTGTATTTATAGTTAAAAAAAAGAAAATCGTTTGAGACATTTTGTTAGTGGATCAAATATGCAGACACGTCTGTTTTTATCTAATCGAGCAAATTAAAAGTTAGCCCAATGAAGGTGCTTTATCACATTGATGCACAATTAGATACAAATCTAATCCTGCCTGTCAGCCTTCCATCTGTGCACAAACTTATCTCGTGCCCTCATTGGTCATGTGTGCGTTCGTGTGTGTTGGAGGAGGGGCTCTGTAAGGAAGTCTGAAGGAAGAGGCAGATTTTCTTCCGGCTGCGTACTTTCAAGTTCTAGCGCACTCGAGCTGGTTTCTCCATTCTTACCTACCCCACCTTTAACATAACAGGATTGACTACCACAGTTTAGCAGCATCACTACATATAGGGCTGTAAAAATAATCAATTTGGCATTTTCAGAATATTCATAAGCTAAAATGTTTTTGAAAAAGTGGTTTTCTAGAAACAAAAAAACTTACCACATACAAGTTGTAAACATTTTGATATTTAATGGTTGATTCATTCATAAAATTGGAAAATAGATTTGACCATAGTCACTTCATTGATGGAATGGTTATTAAAGAAAACACATTAGTTATTGCCCCACTCTCACTGTTGCCAAATTAGTATTATCTAGCAGCATTTGTCTTCACATCGCCCAACCCTATTGTCTTAATATCAATGTCTCTACCATATAAAACATGTATTTATGTCCCTCCTCTCTTCCTCCTCCTCTCTGTCCTCCTTGTGTGTCCCTGACAGAACTCAGGGATAGAGAAGGCCTTCCTGTTCGATGTGGTCAGTAAGATCTACATCGCCACAGACAGCTCTCCGGTGGACATGCAGTCCTACGAGCTGTGCTGCGACATGATCGACGTGGTCATCGACGTCTCCTGCATCTACGGGTGAGTGTGATCAGTTCATCATTAGTAATGGAGGTCAGAGTTGTTAACAGGTCTTCCTGTCGTTCAGATGCAGCTTGCTTTTTTTTTTTACAGGCTTAATATGTTTATTAAAGTTTTCATACTTTTAAGAGCCGACTCAAGACTTACAGTACATTTTTTTAAATTTGGTTTTAAATACAATTGTACATATTCTTGTTTTTCTGTCCTGTGTTTATTGAGATTTGGAGGTGTTGGGGTTTTTTTTAATCACAGAATGATGTGTTGCTCTGTCTTTGACCATGAGGTATTTTGTTTTTATTTTTGTTTGGGAAACATTTTTATGTATGCAAAGTGTTATAAAAATTAAATTGATTGAAATGATTAACGACCTACGGAAGAGTTTCTCTAAAGTAGATAAAAAGAATAAAGAACTTACATTTTTAATGATTTTTAAGGTATCAAATATGCTCCCGTGTTGTCTTAAGAAGCTTTAATCGAAGCAAAACCGAATTCATGCATCGCTTGTCTTCATTCATCCACATGCACGAGCTGTAATTAAATCCACATTTCCCCTGACCATCATGGTGTTATTGTGTTTCATCTCGACAGTCTGAGGGAGGACGGCAGCGGCAGCGCCTACGACAAAGAGTCCATGGCCATCATCAAGCTGAACAACACCACGGTGCTCTACCTGAAGGAGGTCACCAAGTTCCTGGCCCTGGTGTGCATCCTGCGGGAGGAGAGCTTCGAGCGCAAAGGTAAACTGTCCGAGAGACCCGGGGTCCTGGAGCGAGGTGGACTTCATTAGGCTGATAGTGATGTGGCTCGGAGACAAGTGTTTTTATACTTCCCTCTGGATTATTCTAGCATTACAGCAAGTGTTTATTTACATTTAGTGTATGAAGTCAGAGGAAAGATATACAAAATGTGTAATTAAGTACATGAAAGGAGAAAATGTAGAAATGTCGTATTGCGCTTATGGGTATCGGGACGAATTCATATTAATTATACAATAAATACATATATTACAATTAATAGTAAACGCCACATATTTTGTTTGATGCAAGGCTAACATAACCTTCAATTTAATGGTTATTTTGTTATTGTTACTAGTATTCCTGGTGATGAGTCAACTGTGTATCGGTGCCTCTATAACTAGTTTGTGTCTGACTGTGCGTGGGAGATGCCATTTTTAGTTTGGTGGGTTCCTAAAAATTACATTATAACATAGTTTGCATAAATTTAAAGGTGGGGTAGGTAAGTTTGAGAAACCGGCTCGAGATACACTTTTTGTTATATTCCATGGAATGCTCTTAACATCCCGATAGCAATGAATATCTTAAGTGCTTTGACAAAAAATCCATAAAAAAATGTCATCTGTGGAAGCCGTAGTACTGTAAAAAGCACGACCAATCATTTTAGCCGGCCCGGCTAAAATAACTGGATGGCCTACCTGCCTGTCAGCCTTCCATCTGTGCACAAACTTATCTCGTGCCCTCATTGGTCATGTGCGCGTTCGTGTGTGTTGGAGGAGGGGCTCTGTAAGGAAGTGGCAGATTTGTTTTTCCGGCTGTGTATTTTCAAATTCTAGCGCACTCGAGCTGGTTTCTCCAAAATGACCTACCCCACCTTTAAGTGACTATATTATAAGGCGTTACAATGCAATACAAGACCAGTCCACAAAATTCAGCCCAACTTCTCAAAAGGGACCAGTCGGATCTCTATTTTATGTTTCTTTCTTCTATTTCACGTGGACGTTGCTCTCTTTAATTGTTTATTTTTTGATGTAACAAAATAACTTGTTTAGGTGGAAGAAAACTTAAATATGGGGATGTTGGAGGTATGGAAATCATTACAAAACGTTTCCTTTACTATACTACCTTTCCTCACACTAGTGTTGGTATTGCAATGCATCGCAAATGACATATACGAGCCTAACATGACAAAGCACATGACGCTATGAACACAGCAAATATATTTAATAAGGGCTCCTTTTAGTTTTTACCAAATATTATGTTTTCTTTGATATTCAGGACCTAATGTTCCTGTAATTCAGACGCATAAAAGAAAGCAAAAAAACACAAAATGTCCCCCACCACAGCCTGTTTGGTGGTCTTGTCTATCCCATGTTTTTGAAACACAAGAACTTTTAGACCTTATTTGTCAAAATCTCATCATGTGTTTACTTACAATATTTTTTTCTCGCCCCTTTTTAGGATTAATAGACTACAACTTCCACTGTTTCCGGAAGGCCATCCATGAAGTGTTTGAGGTGGGGGTGACCACGCAGCGTGCGACAGGCGCCCAGGCGGTGGGCTCGCCCTGCAGCAAGGCTGTCGCTCTGAACGGGACGCCGCGCAACACTGTCTAGACACTGATCTCCAATAAAAAACAAAAAGATGCAAAAAGAGAGGACAGGAAAGGAAACAAGCAGAGAGCCTGTAGAGGAGAGACTACTGAACTGGGGCTCACAGGCCACCAACCACAACCCCTTGCTCCTCCCAGCACCCAACGTACTGTGAGACAGCCAAGAGTGTGTGTGAGACAGCTCCAGCCAAGAGTGTGTGTGTGAGACAGCACAACGACCTCTCAAGCTGGAAGGGAAATACAAGCACTCGTTTCTGGGGAATTAGAGGAAGTGAAAGAGAGAAAAACTGCACCTGGACAGGGAAAAAAAGTCCAGGATCTTTCTTTGGATTTCACGGTCAAAGGCTGTGATAATTAGCTGCTTGTCCCTCTCCACGGACAATGTGAGGAGGGAAAACAAAACCCTTGTTGTGACCTCTTGCTCATGGACAAAACTTTGATGTCAGTTTGCAGGAATCTGTGTGGCGATGAACCCACCCCGGCCACTTCTGTGCTGATAGAAAAAAAAGATGGTGGATGTGAATTGCTGGTCCTAACACTCGTACATGTTCAGAGATGGCCTTATGGAGATGAAGCTTGTCTGCAGTGCAAGCTTTCTCTCACCACCACTCACCTCACCCTACCTGAATGCTGCCCGAAACTCGCTTTTTGGTTTCAATTGTGAAGGGAAAACAAGGTTTTTTGAGCAGACTGAAAAGGGATTGCGTTGTCCATTTAACTGGGTCTCGTGTGTGTATGTGTGTGTATGCAGGTACATATGGAAGTAAGTGTGTGTGTGTGTGTGTGCGGGTGTCAATGAAAGGTTTTGATTGGGACCTTTTTACAGAAAGAGTTTATGACCTTCTCATAACAGCTGCTTAGCATATTAAACTCTCTTGATCCGTGAAAGTAACTTTTCTGTGTGCGCTCCTCTGAAAAATCGATTGACTTTATGATAGATTGTAGAAAATATTTTGGTTGGAAATTTGAAAATATTCTGAAAAAGCACTGCCAAAATATTGAAATGACTCGGTTATAACCTTGTTGCCATTTATTTAGAAAAAATTATTTGTTATAAATACGGTAAGACATTGTCGGAGGATAATATGAACTGGTTGAAACTTGCATGTTTTTCCACCTACAGTTTCAGTCCTGCCCAAAATTATTAATTCTGTTTTGTATTTAGTTTGGCTCTGTTCAGCAGGATTCACAAAAACAAAATGTACCCATTCCAAGCATGCATACATCGGTGTCAGCTTGTTCTCAACCGTCACAGAAAACCATGTGAGAAACTGCAACTAACCAAGACGAGTAAACGGATAAACAAGAAAAAGACCACATGTCATTACTATTGCCACAACATTTAGATACCCGTTTGTTTATATCAGGACTGATATATGGAAACCCTGGCTGCATATAAAGACCTGACTGTCATGTTATCTTGATATATTTGCCCAGTGAAACATGTTCATGTTGCAGATTTAACTCGGCAGACATTATTCCGGTAACTCTGTGAAACTGCTTCTTGAAACAGACCCTGAGACCCTCTTAACCTAGTCATTATTAGTCAACTGAAATAAACACTTGCACATCAGAACTGTGATGGATGATTGATTTCATGTATTGTGATGATGCTATACTATGTGAAATAAATGAACATTTTAATTTTAAGTTATTGTCTGTGTTATAATTGCTCCCAGTAGTGTATACAAAAACAAATGATCTGACCACTATCTGACAAAGTGGGATATTAGGATTCGTTGCAAGGAGATAACTTACAGGAGATAAGCTCACACTACAGGCACAACGTTGCTTTTTTATTCACTGGTCAATATTGAGAATTTGGGCTGTTTTTTGCTTTCTAAACATATCTTATTTCAGACGGTGTACAAAATAATCCAAAATACTACTCTTTACATTTCTCATAAATTCTCCAAGTTGGCCTCAGTTGCATAGTTCAACAGTCTGAGACAACTTGTAATTCATATAAAACATGTATCTTGTAAATACTCAACTGTGAAAGGTGAATGGTTAAATCTGTAGGTTAAAATATTTTACCCTATTCCCCTGGATTGTCCCCCTAACATATAATCTACAAGCAAACACAAGATGGCGCTGTAGGACTATTCCAGTGTTCCCACGGTGAGTCATTATTCATCTTTCCCCATTCACCAAGTACAATAACTGTTCTCATACTTGTTAAATTGACAGTTAGCCGTTTTTAAACCTGTATTCTGAATTTTACAGCCTGTTAAAGTATGACTATAAACGTCAGCAGCTTCTATAACCACAGTGAGCGGGAGAGAGACCCCATTTCATTTATTGGCCCCGCAGTATGACCATAACAATGGAGCAAATTGGATTATTCAGTATTGATGTAACATAAACTTTGGCTGGCATAGGATTAGTAACGAAGTGAAGTTTATATTTCCTGGATATCATTATGTTAACAGTCAAAATGTGCCTTTTAACCTTTGCATAAATGCTCCAAATGGTATTTGTCAGTGCTTCTCTGATGTGAAGTGCAATGTTTATAGTCAGTTTTGTTGTGTTTGCTGTTGTCTTTATGGCATTATGAGTGAGAAGAGGAAGGGAGAAAAGAAACCCCCTCACTGGTTTATAAAAACAATTCTGAATAGCTTCGCCATGCAAGTTATTCACCAGTTAAGTTAAATAAGCCTCAAAGCTACTGTCACGACCCATTATGTTGGGAGTAGGCGAGACAGCTAAACACCACTTCCACACAATTTAGATGCAATAAAACACTGACAGCTTTTTTATCCACTTCATTAAGCCAGTAATTTCTTATAAAAATCTCCCGCATTAATCCTGGCCATGGTTTCCCTGCGGTTCCTTAAGCTCTCCTCCAACCTTAGCCGCCTTGCTTTGATGCTTACTCAAATAGGCGCTAATTTGAGATAAATTATGCATCCGCATGTAGACTACCCATGCCAAGGAATATAAAGTGTGACACTCTGAAAGATGGTGAATTAAAGCAAAGTGTGATATCTCGACGGCCTAATGGCAGATAGGTTAGACCTGTCAGACTGATGCTTTGTTGATCTGCCAGTCACTTCCTGTTGGGAGAGGTCATGTTTGCGATGTGTTGAAGGTCATTTAGGATCAGTGCACTGGGCTTTTGAGGAACTTCCTCCAAAACTATTCAACTTGTATCTTTATTATCCTTTTAATGATGGTATAAAATGTATGTTTTTGTTTCCACTTAATAGAATAGAATATATCTGTATTGTCATCATCCAAAGTACGACATTTCTTTGGCAACTCTTACTGCAGTAAAAAATAGACATGAATAAATAAGAGTGGTAAAAGCAGTAGTAGTGATGACAGTGCAACGAGATAAAATTCAATGTCGACACTTACAGTCTAAAAATGTTAAATGAAAAAATAAAGGAATTCAAATGTTACAACAGCAGAAGTAAAAGAACAGATGCATAAATTAGTATATTTTTTACATATAAATACATCTACAACATACAAGTGAAGGGATACAAAGAGGTATAAAATATAATACTGTCTTAAGACAGAGAAAAACTCTAAATTTGCAAAAAAATATCAAATATAACACTTGACGCAATGACATTTAGTGTTTAAGAGTCTTTAGATATAAGTGCAACCAGCTTAAAAAACTGTTATTGCATACAAAAACATCTTCAAAGTTTGAGTTTATAAGGCAAAATGGTTGCTAAAGATAATACAGATGGCAATATGTAATCCAATGCTAGTTTAAATATACAATTTCAACATTATCTTGAACATCTTCTAGCATTGTCCCCTGTTCATTCATAATCTAAGCGTTTATTTAATGGCTTTAATACAATAACACCGGCAGGCATGGCTGAATTTAAAGAGATTTATAAAACCAACTCTTCAGACAATGAGACAGAATGTCCAACACACGTAAGTCCAGTTTCTAATCAAGAAATTGTTACAAAAAAAAACATAACTCAACATGTATATGGACTTTAGGAGCACCTGCATCATTTATTAACTACTCAGTGACTTCTTGCAATCTCTAGATGGGGCTGTTGTCTGCGGTTTCAGCGTTTGCCCCTCACTCCTCTGGCAGGGTTTCTGCTCCACAGTGCAGGCAAAATGAAGATCAACATCACACACAGATATAGGGCTAGAGGAAGACTGAGGAGAAGTTGAGGAAGCAGTAGAGAGAGAGCTGCATGATGTACAACTGTAATTTGGCAGCGTAGCAGCTGGTGAAATTGCCTTGCTTTATCAAAGGCAACGCTGCTTCACCCCCTGTCCCCTACTAAGGAAGCTTAACCAATAATGAAATAAATCCAGCATAACCTACTTTTGCCAGTGATGTGACGCTCACTTCCGCACGCCGGTCCACCCTTCATCTTAGATGTCTTAGTATAATTACAACAATGATATTGCCATTACGTTCTTAATAAAACTCGGTGCATTATCTCCCATCTTTACATTTTATTAGGCATGCTTATGAGAGACGAGGGAAAAATGATGAGAGTAAGTGAGACGTCTAAGATAGGTGACGGATGTAATACAGGCTTCAATTGTTATACTGTAAGGCAATGCAGCCTCAGAGTGTAATTATGCAGCAGGGACAGGGAGAGGTGGTGCTGAGATGGACAGTTTAGAGAGCTCTCAACAGCAGTTTTCTGACAAGTTAATGTCATCGCTTTCATTCTTTACTGCTGGAAAAAGGGAAAGATTATACAGTGTCTAGTTTAAATGAAAGGGACATAGTGCAGTGATGACATACTTTGATTTAAAATCTGTTTCTGTGATATTTTCAATGTAACTTGTGATTTTTGTGTCCCAAACCACCCAGTAATATGCCCATGGGTAAAGATATGAGTTGTTCCACTTACATATTAGTAAACGTTACAGTGGCAGCCAGAGATTCAGATTCAGCTGCTGAATGTGGATATTCTTGAAAGCAGAAACACACATAATGAGATACTGTGGGCCAAACCTACTTGTGTCATTTTGATGTTCTTCTACTTCCATCTGTAGAAGAGGAATTTCTCTGACATATTTCTTTCACTACACTTCTTCGGTTAATGTTGTTTTTTTTAAATAGGTTTCTATTTTGTTTTTAAGATATATCTGTTGTAATTTATTGTCGATTATTGTGATTGTAGTAATGTGTTTTTATTACATGTACAGCACTTTGGCTCGACCAAAAATCGCTTTTAAATGTGCTATATAAATAAAACCTGATTTGATTTGATTTGATTTATTTTAGATTAATTGAAATCTGTAAGGGCTGATGGGATATGTTGAGTTACAGAAGAGTAAGTATCAACTATCAATAATCCATTAAGTATAAATACCAATCTTTCCCTTGTTCAGGCCAAATGATTAATTGGGAAATTCCTTTTCAGAATAATCGATAATGAAAATGACTATGAGTTGCAACTATGAAGTCTATGTGGTTGATTCATTTATGAAAAGCATTTGAATACCTCAGAAAACATCATAGATTAAAAGTAGTTTAAGGCATATTGAGGTATCACAAATAATATATTGAGCCTGCAACACCCAATTTCTCAAATAGCCTTTTTAAATGTTCCTATTTAGCCTTTACCCTCACGGAAACCCTAGAGTGAGACTGTTGTAATTGAGCTGCAACCAAAACACACCTGCCTTTAAATATTCTTACACCTTCCGAGCTCTACCAAACTCCTCTCCTACCCTAAATCCGCATCAGAGGGAGGAGCTGGATATCGACAGGAGACGGGAAAGGATAACGAAAGTGGGAGTTAGAGGAAGGGACAGGCGTCTCCTGTATTTTCTCGCTCAGGCAGCAGAGCGTGGAGCGGAGAGGCCAGCGGGCCAGCAGCCAGCTAATGGGGACCAGCAGTGAGCAGGGGCCGGGGACATGGCTGACAAAAGGAGCAGCGACAGATGCCATTATCTCAGCCTCATGCAGATACAATGGAGCTGGACGACACAGGGCCTGACACTGACAGACGTGCAGGAGTGTGTGTGTGTGTGTGTGTGTGTGTGTGTGTGTGTGTGTGTGTGTGTGTGTGTGTGTGTGTGTGTGTGTGTGTGTGTGTGTGTGTGTGTGTGTGTGTGTGTGTGTGTGTGTGTGTGTGTGTGTGTGTGTGTGTGTGTGTTGTGTGGAGGGCCTAAGAGAGGGAACAAGTGTGTACACTGTGAGGTTAATGGAACACGATAGAGGAGAAGTGGATTATAGTGGAGATTCACATTTTTTGGTAACACTTGTCTGAGCTTTTCTGCACCCCATGCATGCATGCAAGTGTGTATATGCAATTGGAGTGTGTGTTGAGTACAGCCTACATGACCCTGTCTTGTTACAGAGAGACAGCCAGATCAGTCACCCGTCACTTGCTTAAAATTCAGGGGCGTCGTGAAACACACATCACATTTGGTCCCAAATTTCTCTGGGTGCTACTCTTGACCTTAAAATATGCAGCAGCGTTCACTTTCCCCCAAAGGATGTTCTGGTCATTTGGAGAACCAAAAAACGTGTCAGGGTGGGGTTTCAGAGGGGGGGAATAAGGGGAATGTGGCGATGCGCTTAGCAGGATTGGCAAAAGCGGAGAAGGGCTGTTAAGCAGCAGTTTTTTGGAGGGATAAGAAATGTGAGCTTTAGCCAGTGTAGTGCGGTGACATGGGACAGTGTTATTGACTGTGGCGGCGCA